CCTTGCAAAATACAAGTTAGTGCAACAACAAGGATAATGAAGAGAAGACATTTCAACGTTGGTTTAAAGTCTGTTATTAAGGTTTGATAACAGGTTAGTGTTCGGGCAATTAACAGACTACACCGTAAATTACATTTCCATCACTGTGTTGATACTGCAGAGGGGGTTCTAAAGAAAAATAAAAGTTCTGAAAAATGCCCCCCCACCAATAATGACTAATATACATCCATCTGTCACTCAGTGATATAAGCAATACGTATCCTGAATTTTACCAACAATGACAATGGAGCAACACAGCAGCAGGAACCCAACTCTTGCATCTTCTGTGTCCTTAAATGACCGCAAACCAAGGAGATGGAGCTTTCAAAGCAGTTACATTACACAGTAGTTTGTTACAAAGATTCCCTTATGCTTTTCATAAAACTGGCCTTGATGCCTTTGGGCTGGGGAAAAGCGAGAGAGAGTGAGTGTGTCTGTGTGTGTGTAGGGGGTTTGGGATTGGTGGAAACAAAACCTTCCCGCTCTCACTGCAGCATTTAATTTGCAAGAAAAATATCAAGTTGGTGGAAACTTACCTTCAACTGGATTAATGACATTGCACGAAGGATGTAAAGTTACCATAAATGCAATAAGTATCACATAGCAAAGTGGAAAACTGGTGATGTATTACATCATTTGCTTAAGACCTTTCCTGCATTCATATGGTGCCTAAACAAATCTCGACCAAAACCATCACAACTGGATGACAAATACCACATGTTGCCAAATGAGACCCAAAGACACATGTGCTCAGCTAACCATTCCAGAACTACGGAACAGTATAAATCCCCCTCTTTTGCGCAAAGAACACCTGTGAAATGATTCCATGGAGAATCATTTCTATTTAAGGCGTTTCTAAAAAGTGCACACCATATTGCAGGTAGACAATGTCAGCTTGGTTTACACGAGGGGCACTAAAATAAAACCATGATTGTGGAAATATTACCAATAATTGCTTAAACACAAATGATTAAGCGCGTTTTGAACCAAATGAGCGGTTTCCACACTTTGATTTTAAGTAACAAACAGAATTTGTCAGAACCCATGGAGGCCATTTGACCCATTGTGTCTGTAACACTGTCACCTGTTTTATTCCAAGTTAATTTTTTGTGAGATGTCTCAAAGCGCTTCACTGAATATACTGTAAAGTGAAATTTCTGTATATTTTGTGGACAAATTGCGCACAGCAGTGTCCCATAAGCAGTCGAGGAAAATTAAATAAAATAAATCAATTGGTACCCATATTCCTCAATGTTTTTACAGTTCACGTGTTTATCCAGTTACAAAAATGATCATATTTAATAAGAAATGATTAATTAGCAACAGCTTTCCAATAATTCATTCATTGAACATTATATACAATAAAACAGAGTTTTGGGTCAATTCGAGCATTTATGCTTCAATGTGTTGCCTGAGCTAACATTTAACACTAATTCTATGATCAATGTCTCCGTCAAACACTACCAAGGAAACGGGCCCAGTTGGTTTTAGAGCAAGTCAGGTCTGTTGGGGAATAGCACAGAAAATGTATGATTCTAGTTTTTCAATGCACCCACCAAAGTTCAGAAAAACTAACCTCTGCTAAGAAAATGCTGCAACGTGATTTTACTACACTCACTCGGTGATTATTTTAAACTCTTTCTTGATTTGAGTTCACAAACTAAAGCTATAAGCTCCACACCATAACATTCTCATTCACATCAGTACATCAATACTGTTCTGCTCTGCAGCAAGCTACGCTGGCCTCATTTACACGGGATTCCCGTAAAGGTTAATATTGATAAAGGATTACAGGTTCTATAGATCTGATTTAGACAGAAACGGAGGGTAATAGCGATGCCATTTGCCAATGTTCACATTACCAACCATACATTACCAACCATACTGCAATTGCAAGTTGCAGTATGCATCAACCCAATGAGCAAAAATGACATGTAACTCTACCTTTGGGCCTCGGCATTTTGTAGGCCAGAGCAGCACCAGTTATTAGCCTACATTACAAGTTATTTTCCAGAGTTGATTATGTATCAGGGTTACATCCAATTAAAACAAAAAGGGCATGTCACTATGGTGTAAGAGGGAACAGGAGCAGAATTCAATCTCTCTTGTTCAATTCCACAAACAGTCTCAAAGTTTCTCGAAGGATGCGGCATGTACCAGGCCAAAACCAATTTCCGTAGTTTTGTCAATACACATATCAAGCAAATCATTTAAAAACATTAACATAGACTTTATTCTGTAATATTTTATGGTGTGGGGAAGAGAAAAATAATCAGTTCAAGCACTAAACTGATTATGATCTAGCAGCAAAAACAATAATAAATTGGTCATTTTCAATCTACGACTGTTTGTGGGACATTGCTGTGCGCAATTGGCTGCCGCGTTCGCCCACAAATATACAGTCAATTCACTTTACAGTGTGTTCTGTGAAGTGCTTTGGGACGTCCTCCCGACATGAAAAGCGCTATATCAAATGCAAGGATTATTATGATTATTATTTTTAAAAATGGCATACGGGAAAAATATCCATAAAATAATAATATTCTTATTATTAAAATAACCATATATTTTTTGTGTTCTGCACTTCAAACTGCTATTGTACATTCTGAGACCATATCTTTCGTGCAGAACTCACTCTATTGTGACATTTTGGAAGTTCTATTCGAATGACCTGAAGAAAGGGGTGGGGGGGTGGGGGAAGGAGGAGAGCAATCTCCTCAGCCTTCACTCATTCATGGTATCGCTGGACCAGAACTTCAAAATGTCACATGGAGGAAGAAGTTCTGCACAAAATGTCTGCTCCCAAGCATACAGAATGAAATACAAAGATTACAGAAAGATCAGAGAAAGTTACAGAAGCCTCTGCGTATAAGATTTAAAACACTGGTGCAGCATGCAGTGCACTACTTCTGCATTCTTGAAAATCAATTTTTGTTGTAAATAGTTTAATTTAGCTTGTAAATTTCAATTGCAATTATAGGCTGCATAGTACATAAACAGTTGGTTCCTGAGATAACAATGAACAAGAATATTTCTGAAATACAGCACGTCACTTTTGTGTTGCAAGCAATCTCTGGGCATCTCAGCTGTGCTTCACAAGAATTTTTTTCACATAAACTTCATAATACTGTATTTATTTGCTTTGCTCTCGGTTCAGAGGAGAGTAAGCAGCAATACAGCACACTCGTTTCTCATGTCTGTCAACTTGCAAACTTATAAATGTCAATTAGCAAGAACCAGTTAGTAGAGGACCAGTACACTGAATTCAATGTTACCTCTATTACAATGCAAACAAGGGCAGAATAGCAGTTAGGAATGGCTTCAAGTCAGAAATGCAATACTTACATTAAAGAAAACAAAATCAATGATACCCCCAAGACGACAAGAAAAATGTCACCCTGCTAAACGAACACTTTGCTAATACGATTGCGAATAACATTCTAAGCAAAAATAGGCAGGCCACCGATTTTTTTTTTAAAAAAATCAAGCAGTGATATAACTCCAGTAACTTGCAATCGAATTAAATAAGAGGTTTTTAAACAGCTGATAGTCGGGAATGATTTGGGAACTCGTATGATAAGAAAAGTCTTGCACGTTTCAAAAATAGAAAGAGCAGCACACACACACACACACACACACGTAAAATGTGACCAATAACAACGACGAAATTAATCGCCATTAGCCCAATAATCAACAAAGTCCTTCAAGTTCCGTTTTTGTGAACCCATTGACATGTAAACGTTTCTCACACCCCCTTTCAAAAAAAATATATACACTGCAGAACTCCTCAGTGCTGAGCACCGTAATACGGTATATAAACAAATGCAATTCTACATAATTGACACACAAGAGCCGCAATGTGTTTATTAAACGATCTGAGCCAAGAAGAGTCGACACGAGTACCACCCACCGCTCTCCGAAACAACGAAACGGGGCAGTTTCCGAAGCTAAAAGGGTCTTTTTTTTGTGTGTTTTAATTTTTTTTAAAAAAAAATATAAGGCACAGAGTCCGCCGCGAATGTCAGTGGATTTAAACCGCTTTCATATTTTAAAATGTTTTCTATTTACGGATCAATTAAAAAAAATGAAACGCTGCCCTTTGAAAGGACTGGGACTGGGTGTGAAAAGGGAGGGGGGTGGGGGGGGGGGGGAGAGGAGAAGTGGGGGTTTGTGTGGGGTTGTATGGGGGGGAAGGGGGGGGGGGTCTTTGTGATCCTGGTCGTTGATGTTGCCCCTTATGGGGTTAAAAATGACCGGTGGGTTACTGTAAACGATGCTCTCTGGCTATTGTTCGGCTGAGAGGTGCTGAAATAGGACTGGGGGGGGGCGGGCGGGGGGGGGGACGGACACATTTAACTGTTGACTGGTCCGTATCCTTTGGCGCGTTAAGGCAACAACAACAACAACAACAAACGGCTTTTTCTTTCTGTGTGGGGGCGATAACTGGGGGGGGGGGGGGAGAGGAGGGAGGGGGTGTGTTCAGCTGTTAACCCCCAACACCACCACCACCACCAGCGAGAGCTGCGTTTATTCATCAGTGAGGGCCCGGGGGGAAAGCCCAGGGGAGGGAGTGAAGGAGCGAGGGGGGAGGGAGTGAGGAGAGAGAGAGGAGAGAGAGGGGGGGGGAGTGAGGGGAGGGGGGAGTGAGGGGAGGGTGTTTATGCGGATTACTCGAGTCGCGGTGGGCGAGGAGGAGAGAGAGAGAGAGAGATGGGGGAGCCCCTGCAGCCCCTTCCTCAGGGCTCCGCGGCCTACTCTGCCGCCCGCTCCCTCCCTCACTCACTCACTCCCCTCGTTCCACCATCCTTTGTACGGGCGTTTGATTACATTCAAGTTGCCTCTCTTTTTTTTTGGAGGGGGGGGGAGGGGGCGAGAGACTATATATATATATACACACACACACACTCACAAACATACATAGTATATATATATATTTGTCTCTCTCTCTCTCTCTGGTTTACCTGGCAGAAGTGCTGGCAGTATTGGGAGGAGGAGGACTCGGACGCGCCGCCGCCGCCCCCCCTGCACAGCTCGCGGTGGATGAGGTGCAGCCGCTCGCTGACGGGCCGCGGGCCCCGCTCGCTCTCCTCGTCCGCCATCTTCCCTCTGCACTGCTGCGCGTAGTCAGCGTCACGTGACCGCGGCTGTGGGGGGGGGGCGGGCGGGCGGCTCGTCCCCGCTCGCTCGCTCGCTCGGTCGCGCGCGCGCACGCACGCACGCGCCTCCCTCTCTTCCCCCCCACCACCACACACACACACACACGAGCGCGCGCGCGCCGAACTTCTGCGTCTGACTCGAAGCGCGACCCCGCCACGGGGGGGGGGGGGACGACGACGAAGGCGGCGGCGCGCGCGCGCGCAGAGAGAGAGCGAGAGAGCGAGAGCGCGCGTGACCTCCCCCCCCCGCCTTTGTGACGTCGCCGCCCGTGACCCGCGCCTTCTTATGACGTCATAGCCCCCCCCCACGCACTTGCGCCAAAGGCGGTCGCGGACGCTCAAAGAGGGACCGACTTTATAATCTATGATATTTATTGTATAGAGAGCGAGAGGAAGGTACGGGTTTATAGTATGGATTCTATAAGGTTCACGGGGGGAGGGGGAGGGAGGGTGTGTGTTGTTGTTGTGGTGGTGGTGGTGGGGGGAGAACCCCTATGGATTCACCGCCTGAGGAACGCTCTGAAGAACGTTTTGGACACTCAGAGCAACTTCTGGTGGACACTGTGCAATGGTGGGCGGTGGGTGGGGGGGGAATCCTGTGGCTTTACGGCTGCAGAGGGATAGTGTAGGTTCGCAGTGAGGGAGTGGACATGTCCGGCGCCTTGGGACGTCCTCCCCGGTGGTGGAAGGCGCTTATAACGCACGTGACTTCGCTGTGATGCGGATTCAAGGTGTGTGTGTGTGTGTGGAGCGTATATGATGATATCATAATTAATAATAATAATAATAAAAATGAGCGTGTAGGATTCTCAGGGTGAGGATGTATGAATTCGCAGTGTGACAAACGTCTAGATTCGTGTTGTGCTGACTGTACAGGACTCAAACCAGCTTGTCCAGGTTTAGAGTCGACGCGTGGAGTCCATTGGAGCCTCTCCATCTCGCCTGGAGCCTGAATCAAAACATTACAGAAAATACAGGTGCCTCCCTCATCACCATAGGGGGCGGCGATACCTATCCCACAAAGCACAGAATGCCTCACTTTTCGACTTTGATTTCATCTCTGGGCTTTTAAGAGCTGGATCGACCACGACAAGCAGCCCAACCCAATATATATATGTATATATATATACTGGGAATTCATGATGGAGTGTAATTGTCGCCGGTGCACTGTAGAGATTGCTCAAGTGTTGAAGCTGACCTTATGTTGCACTCTGCTAATGACCATTGTGCTAGAAAAGAAACCGGGATGCCAAATTGTTTCAAAGGAACACGGTAAGTCACTGGGTCTGTAAATCACATTCTTGGAAACTAGACCCAACTGCCTACGTGTAAAACAAATCTTAAAAGATTGGCGTAGGAACTCCACGTTGAATGTGTCCAAATCCAGCGCCCCCTCAACGACCCCTTGAACTGTTGAAAGGAAGAACAAAGTGAAGCCAGAGCAGAGAGTAAAACACAGTCCAACTGCAAGTGAATCAAGCAGTTAGTGACAGAAAGTGCTGGTACAGTTATGTGATAAGATCGCCTGCCCTCTTCCTCCCCCCGTGCAGCTGCAGAATGTAATGAGATACGCGGTTTTCGGAGATCAGCAAAACCCAAAGCCCACGCGAGGAGAATTGCAGGTGCGACGTTTTTTGTGCCAACGGCACAATATATAAAAAAAATAAAACGCGAGGAAGACTCATTTTCATCTGCAATACATACGGTTAGCAAAGAGGGCGATACACTGCAGAGACCCTGGGTTTCTAAACGCTCTTCCAAGAGGAAAAAGTAAGAGTTCCTCTCGCACGAAAAAAAGGCTTATTTTCAGGGATGAAAACATAATGTTTTTGCTAAATGTCCTTGCGGATTTGAGTCAATTTGACTCGTTAGCTGCAAATATTGCACGGTTTTACAACGAACAGTTGCATTCGGGCAATTGTCACGTTATTTGCAAACTTGAATCCCATTTCATTTCACTTTTGATTTTCCCCCTCCAAAGTCACACATCTCGTTGCATTAATTCCCCTGACATCGAATGTGGTTGAAATAACGCAACCAATTGCAAACCGAGGAGGAGGAGGAGGAAGAGGAGGAAAGGGAGGAGGAGGAGGGGTAAAAAAAATACAGATTTAAAAAAACAAGTGACCGTAAAAATCAAAGGCTCTGAATGAATCATCGCAACACAGACTCGCACAGAGAGAGTGAGTGAGTGAGTGATTGACAGGAGGGATCACGTGGTCCGTCAGGGCTCGCTGACCTTTAGCCCCCGAGACCCGGAAGCAGTCGGGGTTGGCGGCGACTCGGGCCCGGAGCGGAGCCTCGGAGTTGGGTGAGTTTCTGTCCCCGCGTCTTCCAGGCGCTGCCGGGCGGCCCTGGCTGGGTTGGGGGTACCCCTTCCCTGCCTCTCGGGGGAGGGGTGTGTGTGTGTGGGGGGGGGAGGGGGTGTTAATTCTCCCCGAGGCGCCGGTTTGAGCAAAAAAAACCACTAGGCCTCGTTGCGACTGTTAGGCCTCAGTCTCTCCCGAGGACCTGCCCGACAATCTCCTGCATTAAGTCCCTCACTCACTCACTCGCTCACTCACTTACTTCCCCCCCTCCTCTGTTGGCGGGCGAGTCCCCCCCCGTCCCTGGGCACACAATTGGCTGCCGAGTTCGCCCACAGACCGCGCGCGCACACATCACCCTCGAGCGATAATAATAATAATAACAACAACGACGACAACGACGACCACGACGACGACCACGACAATAGCGATCCTTGCGTTTGATACCGCGCCTCAGCCCGTCTTCGAGACCGCCCCGAAGCGCTTCGCGCAATATTATTCTTCGCCGTGAAGTGAATTAACAATGTTACAGTCCGTCCCCACCCCCCCCCCCCCCCTCCCCCACCCCCACCCCCGGGGTCTTTCAGGCAACAACAACAACAACTTGGGTTTGCGTAGCGTCACCTCACTCATGTCATTGAGACATCTCAAAGCGCTTCAGAGGATATAGCGGATTGACTGTATCGATGACAGTCCGTCCGGGCTGGTGCAGTGCTCCAGCACATCGCCGGGGTGTCCCTTTTTGGGGACTCTGACCCCCTGCACTGGCCCTCTTCACGCAGACGTGATGGGAGGTCCCGCCACACTGTTCGTAAAGAGAAGGGAGTTTCTCCCCCAATGTCCTGACCGGAAATCCCGCCAGATTGAAGGTTGTGCGTGGGCCGTTGGCCGCCTTCGAACACAGTCACTACACTCGGCAGCACTTACCATCAAGGGTTTTGAGACATTTCAGGCCCCTATTCTCTCCCCCACCCCCTCAGCTCAAGATACCAGTCGCAGTGGGTGAAGTGCTTTGAATCGTCTTCCTGACCTGAAAGACAGCGTATCAGATGCAAGGATTTGATTTAATGTATTCCAAATGATTATCAAAACCTTGTTTATGGATATTGTCCATAGGGAAGTTTTTTCCCTTTAATAATGTTGACTTTTATTCATAGTTTATTTGTGAAGCATTTATTTATACTTTGAACCCTGTAAAATGATCAATATTTGAATGATCAAAGAGGGATTATTTCTGCCCGTTTCCTTCAAAGGATTAATCATCAGGGAAAATGGGTAAATCAAAGCAGACGCGGAACCACAACAGTGACAAGAAGAAAAATATCTCCAAAATGTGGAAAACAAAAAGGCGAACAAAAGATTTAGACGAGATTCACAAGGACATGGAAGCTGCAAATGCTCAGAAATTACTGCACCAAGCAGTAAACTTCGACGTGACAGGCAACGCTCAGTTCTATTGCTTACATTGCGCGTAAGTAGCCATTAATACCTTTGATGAATAATTTATTCTCTATCTCAAGATCAATTAATAATCCTATGAAGGAGTGAATTATTTATCTTCTGCGAGCTGAGGAGCTTCCACAAACTTCTCTCTTTCTCTCTGGGGTCCATTGTGACAGTTTTATCACTCAAAAAAATCATTTTTATTTTAAAATCTACTTGAATTGATTGCATCGCCAGGGTGAGGGCTGCAGTACAGTACAATTTACACTTGTTTAGGGGTTTTCACATGGAGTAGACATCTCAAAGCTACTGCTGCCCTTCGGACGGGACACAATACTGTGGTCTAGTCTGTGCCTTTGCTTCAGGTGGACATTAAAGATCCTGTGACACTATTAAAACACAGAATGGAGTTTCTTCCGATGTCCTGACATCCAGATAAATTGGTCATTCCATTCACTTCATCGCTGTTTGTGATTCCTTACGCTCTGTCAAATTGGCTGCTGGGTTTGCTGACAAATGTGCAGTCACTAGACTTGACAGCTGTTCTCTGTGAAGCAGTTTGAGATTGTGAGTGTTCAAGTCCTAGTAGTACCAAAAGATTAACCAAGTTGAAACTAAATCAGCATTTTATTCACCAAACGAACATAAAATTCACATCCAAATAACTTTGCCTTTTTGTACCTTTACACATGGTATTGCCTCGGCCCCGCTTTCAGCTAAATATTCCCACCCATTAGCCTTGGATCAGTTACCTCATTAGGACTTGTAATGCGGTCTCAACATTTCACATGCTTTGTTTAAAAGGATCCGCTTCCTCTTTTAATGTAGCAGTGCTTGAGCACAGCCTCTGAGACCACTCATGGAGTTTCCTGACTTTTCCTTATTCTGAGAGAGGCAGAATAATTAAAGGAGACGGCAGGAGAAAGAGAGATGGGTCTGACTTGATCAGTGGATCTTAAATTTCTTCAGTTTTCTATTTTAATTCCGCAGGGTTTAAAACTTTTTTTGTTTTTTCATTTTTCCCCCTCACAGTCGGTACTTCATTGATCAGAGAAACCTCCAGGAACATTTTAAAACTAAAGTCCACAAAAGAAGGTACAGTAATGCCATTTTTTAAATACGTAAAGATCTTTGTAGTGCCTGGAATTTTGGCCTTAATGTGGAATGAAGCCAGTTGACTTGAGCTGAGTCAGCTAACAGACCAAAGATCCATGTGAAAGGAACTACTGGTTCCTGGCTCTTTAAACATTCATTCTCTATTTGTGGTTCTCTAGGCTCAAGCAGCTGAGTGAAGCGCCATACACCCAGGAAGAAGCTGAGCGAGCAGCGGGCATGGGCTCCTACACCCGTCCACAGAAAGTCACGGTCAGAACACAGCCAACCGAGGAAAACATGTCTGTGCAGTGAGGCCGGCTGCCGTCGGCGCCCTGAGCCGTTCTTTAGAAAACAAGACTTCTCTTTTAACGGTTTCCAATGTTGGTGTATGTCAGTAGTGTTTGGGACAGGTTCAATTTCCAGTTCAAAAACTTGCCAATGTGGACCCTGTCAAACTGACAGCCTGTCTTGAAGACCAGCCGTGAAGACTCGTTCTCTGAGTAGTAATTCGTGCAGCCCCCGTTCCCCACACAGGTGACCTACAATCAATCCTCTGTTTTCAGGGAAAAAATAAATTCTAGCGAGAATACCCTCAAACTTGTTTGTTTTCTGATTTGTAAAAACATAGGAATCCACTTTGTATCTAATTGGTATTTGGAGGCGAACAGAAATCAAGGGGTGAAGTCATTGCTGAGTTTGTCTTTCTTTTTTGGGGGGTGGAGGGGGGTAAGGATGGGACTGTATCTCTGGTAGCACTGAAACTGCTTGCTTCACAAAGTCTCTGTCAAGTGTAGTGACTATCTGTAGGCGAACAGAGCAGCTATTTTTGGGCACAGCAAACAGCTGTGAGGTGAATGACCAGTTTAATTTACTTTCTCTTCAAATAGTACCACAAAACCTTTAACACCCACTGCACAGGTAGACGGAACCTCAGCTTATCGTTTGTGTTTCCATTAAGGGATGTGGGGCAAGAGCTGGAAAGCGTGATTTATTTTTTAATAAACGGCACAGTGGCATAGATGTGTGATATGCAGAAAATGGAAGAAAAATACTGTTTTTAGGAAGGCATCTCTGATAATGCAGCATTCTTCCTCCCTAGTCCTACCCCCCAGTACTGTACTGCACCGTCGGCTTCAATTGCAACGTACACATCAATGGGTGAGCCTTTAAGCCATTCTGCCACTGCTCTCTGGAACAACACCTCTGCCTCACCCCCTCCCCAGTTTTAAAGCCTGTCTTTAGACCTATCTCGTGTACTGTGCTTTCGGTCATCTATTCCTTACAGATACATACACACACGGCTCGGGTGCCTGGTCAGCTGTATGAAGCACTCAGAGATGCCCTCCCGAAGTGAAAGGTATGCAAATTGTATGTTAACCGTGGCTGCCACTGACCCTATTAAACGAGTCTCGCGGTCGTGTTGCTTAAATTAACTGGAAGAAGCTGAGCTGCTGCCTGAGGGCGAATTCTACAACTTGGAAGAGCTTCTGTTATGGAGAATCAGCCACTGATAGGAATGAATAGTCTGGTTTATTACTGCTCCAGCCTGAAGCGTTGAGCCCTGACCGAGAGAAGTTTGTGGAATCCTGTAGAGTAGGACCTGGGTTCGATTCCCACCCGGTTGGGGCAAAACCTTAGGCAATATAATAATAATGATAATAATAATAATAATCCTTGTATTTGATATAGCGCTTTTCACGTCTTCTCGACATTTCAAAGCGCTTCACAGAATATGCTGTAAAGTGAATTGACTGTATATTTGTGGGCGAAACACGGCGGCCGACTGCGCACAGCGGCGTCCCCACAAACAGCCGTGGATTGAAAACGGCCAATTTGTTGTCGCTTTTTGTAGGGTTTATTATTCGGACGAGTTTTAGACGTCCCGACGACGACGTGATAAGAACCCCGTATCAAACGCAAGGAGTATTACCGTTCTCAAGACGTAATAAAGAAATGCAAGTTGCTCACGGGTGAAATTTTAGCGCCTGGTTTTGTGGGGGGGGGGGTGGCGAGACGGTGCAAACGCACTCCCGAGTGGAAAAAATTCAACGGCGAAGCGGTGAGTCGGGGGCGTACGGTACAGCGGTTCAATCCTGCGGGAAGGGACAGCTTCAAATAATTAGCGATCCGGGTTTTCCTTCCATTTTCCCAGTCGGCCATTCCCAGTGAGTGAGTTGCACAGACGGATAGAGACAGACGGATAGAGACAGACGGATAGAGACAGACAGATAGACAGAGACAGACAGACACAGAGGCAGACAGACACAGACAGAGACACAGAGACAGAGAGAGAGAGACAGACACAGAGACAGACAGAGACACAGAGACAGACAGACAGAGAGACCGACAGACAGAGAGAGAGACAGATGCTCTGATGGGGATTGGCAGAGGCTGAGATAGAGTGGGTGGACGTGGTGTGAGTGAGTGGGTGTGTGATGGGGAGGGGGTGTGGGGGGAGAGGGGGAGAGTTTAAGTGAAAATAAACCCAGAGAGAGAGAGAGAGAGAGGAGAGAAAACTTCTGAGGCGCCACACAGAGAGCGCTCAGAGCCATCACCTTTCCGGGGGGAGTGGGGGAGAGAGGGAGAGTGGGAGAGAGGGGGAGAGAGGGGGAGAGTGGGGGAGGGGGGAGAGAGGGAGAGTGGGGAGAGGGAGTGGGGGGAGGGGGGAGTGGGGGAGAGGGGGAGAGTGGGGGAGAGGGGGAGGGGGGAGAGGGGGGAGAGAGGGAGTGGGGGAGAGAGGGAGAGGGGGGGAGTGGGGGAGGGGGAGAGAGGGGGGAGTGGGGAGAGGGGGAGAGAGGGGGGAGTGGGGAGAGGGGAGAGGGGGAGTGGGGGGAGGGAGAGGGGGGAGAGGGGGGGAGTGGGGGAGAGAGAGGGGGGGAGAGGGGGAGAGGGGGAGAGGGGGGAGAGAGAGGGGGAGAGGGGGAGAGCTCTGGGGGTCTGCGGTTCGGCTCTGATCGCAGCTCATGGCGTCTGAGGTGAAGAAGCGGAGGAGCGGCTGCGGCTCCGCTGCGGGAAATGAGGCGACGGGTGCGGCTGAGAGCCCGACCCGCACCCGCCACCGGCACAGGGGGGGACCCCCCCCACACCCCCCCGGGCGGCTCGGGGCTGCGGGGCTGCTCGGGCTGGTCCTCACCCTCGGGTGGGGGGTGAAGTGTTACCGCGACTGGAAACTGCTGAGACAACGGGTGAGAGGGGGGGAGTGGGAGGGGGGGGAGAGGGGGGGGGGAGGGAGGGGGGGAGAGGGGGGGGAAAGAGGGGAGAGGGAGTGGGGGGGAAAGAGGGGGAGAGTGGGGGGAAAGGGGAGAGGGAGGGGGGAGAATGGGGGAGAGGGAGGGGGGAGAGTGGGGGGAAAGAGGGGGAGAGGGAGTGGGGGGGAAAGAGGGGGAGAGTGGGGGGAAAGGGGAGAGTGGGGGGAAAGGGGAGAGGGAGGGGGGAGAGTGGGGGGAAAGAGGGGGAGAAGGAAAGGGGGGAGTGGGGGGAAAGAGGGGGAGGGGGGGAGAGGGAGGGGGGAAAGGGGGAGAGTGTGGGGGGAAAGGGGGAGAGGAAGAGTGTGGGGGTGTGTGGAAAAGGGGGGGAAGAGGGGAAAATTGGGGGGGAAAAGAAGGGGAGAGGGGGGGGAAGAGTGTGTGGGGGGGAGAGGGAATGTGTTTGGGATTCAATTGGAATTGGGGGGGGAGGGGGGGATAGATTTGGGATTGAACAAAAATTCGGGGTGAAGGGGGGGGAATAAGACTGGAGATTGCATGGGAATTGGGTCATTTCATCCAAAGTTTTTAATGACCAATATCTTTATTATTATTATTATTATTATTAATAAAAGGTTCTTTTCGAAGGAGTGGATTTAAAACAAATGAATGCGCATCGCAATCTGCAGCCGCGTCTCCGGGTGATGGTGAGGGGGAGGAATGGAGTTTGTTTTTTTTATTAACAATTTGAGAGACGTAGACACACATAGAGAGAGAGAGAGAAAACAGGAGAGGAAAAGAGTGTGAAGGTGTCCATTTCAAAGCCACTACACTGGCACGTACTCTGTGTGGGTGGGGGGTAGGTGGGGGGTGGGGGGAAAGCCCAGACAACATTCCCCTCCACTCCTTTCCTCTTCCACACACCAGGGAGAAAAATCCACTCAAAACAGCCATTTGTTAACTCGCTCTCTCGTGTCCCCCCCCTTTTTTTTTTGGCTCTGTGAAACTATGCGTCTCCGCGTTGATCCCAACCCCCAGCTCGGGCGCAAACCCTTAACCGTCCAGAACCTCGGGACGTCCCTCCGACGTGAAAAGCGCTGCGCAAATGTAATGTTGTTGTCGTCGTGGCGTAGCTCGTGAGTAAGGTACTCTATCGAGCGAATGTTCTCCCCCAGCGCTTCGTTCGCCCGTTTGTCGAATGGTTTGAGTTAAGTACGGACACTCCTTCAACTGATTGTGCGTTTTATGTGCGGAAAAGAAATCGTTGTTCCTCTCCGCAGGAAGATGCTCAGAAAGCCCTGGGCAGCGAAGGGATGTTCCTCTTTTCCTCCCTGGACGCCAACAACGACTTGTATCTCAGCCCGGAGGAGTTCCGGCCCATAGCAGAAAAACTAACGGGTACGGCGCTTTGTGGCTGAAAAGTAACTACGTTAGCAAGTAAGCTGCTGGTAGCCTGTTGTAGGTTTACGGCACAGAAGACCACTTGGACCACAGTATCTGTGTTAGAGCTTGTCCCCCCCCTTCCCCCCCCCCCGCGGTCCCCCACTGGAGTTTTTTAATTAATACCCCTATTCCTTCCCCATCATGTCTGTGCCGGTGCACTCTACCCCCGCCGGAACCTGGCAGCAAGTGGGAAACCAGTTGTTAATGGATTGTCAGATCGCTTTCCGGGGGTAATAATCCCTAGCCCCCCCCCCCCCCCTCCTCAAAGTAAAATGTTGTCAGATATTTGTCAGATTGATAAATAAATTATAAGAATAATTTGGTCACTCAATCCACTGCTGCGGATTGGACACTGCTGTGCGCAATTGGCTGCCACATTTCACCCACAGTCAATCCACTTTACAGAATATTCTGTGAAGCGCTTTGAGACGTTCCAACGACGTGATAAGGCGCTATATCAAATGCAGGGATTATTATAATTATTATTAAGACTGATATTGTAATCCTTTTGAAAAGAGTAACTGAATGAGCCCGGATGTAAATGCTGAGTGAAGAGTAATTTGTGTGCACAGGTGTCTCCCCGGCACCTGACTTTGACAGCGATGAAGACTTGGACCCCAATGGCGAGACCTTAACCATTGTCGCCAAACTCCGGCCGCTGATCCTGGAGAGCATGACCAAGAGCAAAGATGGGTTTCTCGGAGTGAGTGATCTTCTCCTCTGAACGGTGACCGTTAGAGAAGGACCCTGCATCCAACATTGCAGCAAAAAGTAACTCAGTAACCCCCGTCGTGTTTGGTGACTGCCTTTGTAGGCAAATGCAGCAACGATTCGCAATAAGTTCCCGCAAGTAGCAGTAAGTAGGTACCCGGTTGTTAGTCGAAGGTAATAATCCCTCCAAAAAAAAATATTTGGTCACTCAATCCGCGACTGTTTGCGGGACGCTGCTGTGCGCAATTGGCTGCCGCGTTTCGCCCTCAAAATACCCAGTCAATTCACTTTACACAATATTCCGTGAAGCGCTTTGAGACGTCTCAACGACGCGATCAGACGCTAGATCAAATGAAAGGATTATTATTATTATTTTTGGATGAGTTCAGGTGCGACAGCAATATTGCGATCTCATTGTTATCCGAGAATTACTTGCCAGGAGAGTGGAAAAGGGAGAGACTGCGCTTGGTGTTTTCAGGTTTCTCACGGGACGCTGTCAGGGCTGAAGAATTGGAAGACGCCTGCAATTCCCTCCGGGGTCTTCAGCGCCCGGCAATTCAAAGTCTTCCTCCCTCCGAAGAGCACAGTGCGGGTGGGCGACACCTGGTGGATGGTCCCCAGCGAGCTCAGCATCTTCACGGGATATCTCTCCAATAACCGCTTTTACCCTCCAGCACCTCAAGGGAGAGAGGTGAGGCAATCTTAAAGAGTCCCTGCAGCGTAGTGATTAGAGTACTCGCCTCACAAGAGAGAGGGCCGGGGTTCGATTCCCAGGCATGGTGAAACCTTAGGCAAGTCTCTTCACGAGGAGCTTACAAGATGTTTTCCTTCCTAAACAGGTCCTCATTCATAATCTCCTCAGCATGCTTCACCCCCGCCCGTTTGTGAAGAGCAGATTTGCCCCTCAGGGGGCAGTGGCCTGCATTCGCGGCCTCAGCGACTTCTATTATGACATTGTGTTCAGGTGGGTATGTTATTCCAGTTGCCTGTTTGCTCCGAGTGAGGGGCCGTCTAATGATTTACTAGTGGATTCTGTAAAATGTTGTGTAGTCTTTATTTCTTTCACCACATTCATCTTTCACGACACGGGAAACCTGTTATCTTTCCTGCTCCCTTCCTCCTCCCAGGATCCATGCAGAATTCCAGCTGAATGAACCGCCGGATTTCCCCTTTTGGTTTACCCCGGGGCAGTTTACTGGAAACATCGTTATCTCGAAGGATGCCTCTCACGTTCGGGATTTCTGGATGAATGTTCCCAACGACAGGTCGGTTGGATATTTAATTTCGTCTCTTGGGGGAAGAGGTGTTGTTCCCAGATCACATTTGGAATAACAATCCCAAGTTTGCTGCTGTACTTTATAATGTGTACTTTACGTGGCTCACTCTCGCTCTATCAAACGCAAGGATTATATATTATTAATAATGTAATAATCCTTGGTGCTCACATGTACTCCCAACAGGTCTCTAAATGTGGACATGGAGTGGCTGTACGGAGCAAGCGAAAGTGGCAACATGGAAGTGGACATTGGCTACTTACCGCAGGTTTCTTACGTTCCCAACACCTTAACCCTCAACAGTTGTCCGTTCCTTCTCTGTTTTGCGCAGCATCGTGGAGTCTTTAACTACCTTACAAACAGCACCTCGGTTGACTGTCTCATACAAAAAATAGAAGGCTGAATTATGAGGTGCTCGGGGATGGGTGGTCTAATCTAATTTAAATTAGTAAGGGAGGATTAAGCTTTCCCCGCCCCCAACCCCTCCAGGCTCTGGATGTTAATTCAGAAATCGATCAAGAGGTAAAATTCTGATCTTGATGCACGCGAGTCAATATAACACAGAACATGCGCCATTTGCCTGGAAGGGAAGTGGATGAGTGTGTGGCAATTAGGCGGAGTGTCCCTTGCACTGACCCACAGTTTTTTTTTTGCCTGTGGCCATCGGAGTTTTTTCTCTTTTAATAACTGTACTCGTGCGTATGTTGCAGATGGAGCTCAGCGCTGTCGCCCCATCCGTCCCGAGCATCATTACGGACGAGAACGGTAACACGGTAGACAGTGGGAATATTGTGGGGGAGCCCATCCAGTTTGTGTTCGAGGACATCGAGTGGCGGTCAGAAATCAGCTTCGACGAGGCTGCTCAGAACCTGGAAACGACCATGTATCCCTTTAAGAAGGTAAAGGGTGAATGAGACACCAACCTTGGATGTTATAGAGACCTGTAGCCTAGTGGATAGAGCGCTCACCTCGCAAGCGAGAGGACCCAGGTTCGATTTCCGGGCAGGGCGAAACCTTAGGCAAGTTTCCTGACCCACCCTCAGTTTACCTAGGAGTAAGTGGGAACCTGGTTGTTTCTAGGGATAATAATCCTTTCCAAAAAAAATAATGAATCCATGACTGTTTGTCTGACACTGCTGTGAGTTATTGGCTGCAGGGTTTCGTTCACAAAATACACGGTCAGTTCACTTTCCAGTAAATCCTGTGAAGCGCTTTGAGACGTCTCAATGACGTGATAAGGCGCTATATCAATAATAATAATAATCCTTGCATTTGATATAGCGCTTTTCACGTCGGGAGGACGTCCCAAAGCGCTTCACAGATCACACTGTAAAGTGAATTGACTGTATATTTGTGGGCGAACGCGGCAGCCAATTGCACACAGCAATGTCCCACAAACAGTCGTAGATTGAAAATGACCAATTTATTATTGTTTTTGGTTTTGGAGGGATTATTATCAAGTGCAAGGATTATTATTATTATTGTGCTTCTCTGTTGCGTGGGTTTTCGGTTCACTGTATCTTTCTTGTTAGTCCTCAGCCCAGGAGTTTCTAGTTTCTACTCATGGCCGCTGGCCATTTTACCAGATCTAATCTGTCAAGTCTTTCCCAGAGCTAATCTCTGCTCCTGTTAAGCTGCCGTAACTCGAATCGAATCATCGTAGCATATTGTTTAGTTGAAGCGAGGGTGTTCAAACACAACGCCGCCTTTGCCTTTTCCCAGGTGTCGTATCTGCCTTTCACCGAAGTTTTTGAACGGGCAAAGGCGGAAGACAAGCTGGTGCATTCCATTTTACTCTGGGGTGCGCTGGACGATCAGTCCTGCTGAGGTGAGGAATCACATCACGTTCTCTTTGTGCAATTAAAATCTGCTGTATGTTTACACACACACACACACACACACCCTATGCCCTCTGTCTCACCATCCATGGCGGAGCCTTTGATCACTGTGTCCCCGCGCTCTCCCAGGTCCACTGGTGACCTCAGCCACCTTGGCTTCTGTGTGTTTTGAGGAGAGTTAAGCTTTTACTTTTTTTTTTGGTCGGCCGGGTGTCTGACACGTGTGGAAACCCATCGCCGTTGCTTAAGAGTACCCAAACCGAGCTGAGAATTCCAGACATCCCACCAACACAAGGAACTTCCAGAGATAGATTGTTGGAATAGAGTGCGCCCACTCTCTCTCTCTCTCTCTCTCTCTCTCTCCCTGGAGGGACACATCCTGTTTACACAATTCCGGAAAGTATTAGGCGCAGGTTGGCAAGAGGGGCACCAGAGTTCGTTGGGGTAACTGCTGGAGTCTAACCAGCTAAAACTGTACAGCTTGCCATGGATATCGCTGTCTGGCAAGTTTGTCTGCTGCTTGTCCAGCTGGGACCACCCACCCAACCTGTTAGGGTTTTGGCTTGCAGGGTTAACAGGAGTTGAGTGGGAGGATTCCCTATTACTGACCGCACAATGGCCTTTCCCTGAGTGTCGAGGTTCGTGGTGTGTTGGCCGCTCACGCTCAAGCAGAGTCTGATCTTTTTTATTCTCCGTCCGCGCAGGTTCAGGGCGGACTCTGCGGGAGACTGTTCTCGAGAGTTCGCCCGTCCTCGCTCTGCTGAACGAGAGCTTCATCAGCAGCTGGTCCTTGGTGAAGGAACTGGAGGATCTTCAGGTAAACGCACCGGGCACTAAACTCACTGCAGCCGCGTTAGTGGGGAACAGCCATCCAGGTGGGAACAAAAATATCTCCTACAAGACTTGCAGGACAATTCCTGATTTTCTCTCCCCCACCCCCCACCCCAAACGGAATGTTCTTTCCCTCTGGGGAAGGTGTTATAAATGCGGGTGACCTGCGGTGATTAATTCAGTGATTTAACGCCCTGTGCTTATCCTCCACAGAAAAACCCAGAGAGTGAAGTGCATGCCCGGCTAGCCAGCTTACATCTAGAGAATTACAACTTTCCTGTAGAGATGATGGTGGCTTTACCCAACGGCTCAGTGGTGAGTTTTTTGTTTATCATGAGTTCATCGACTATTTATCATGCACTTGATTGACTGCCCAGCGCCTAGGGACGTCCTCCCAACAGGAAAGGCGCACTACAAATGTAATCTGTTGTTGTTAAGTGTATTCAGTACAAGTGTGAAAGCGGCAGAGAGTGATGCATCACCGCGTTCAGTGCGACATCCTCCGTAACGTGAATGGAGTGAGGAGGCAAGATGCATCTCTGATAGCTTGTTTCATCTCTTCCATAGTCTTGCATTGCTGTTTTGTAACAGAGGACTTTGTGGACACCCTGTACATTGCTGATCTCTCTCTCTCTTTCTCTTTCTCGGCAGATTCACCACATCAACGCAAACCACTTCCTGGACATAACATCGATGAAGCCGGAGGAGGTGGAAGGTGGTCTCTTCACTTCCTCGGTGGGTTTCGAGGACCCCTCGACCGCAGCTTATGTCCAGTTCCTGAAGGAAGGGCTGGAAAAGGCGCGACCGTTTTTATCGTCCTAGCAAGAAGGGAAAAAAAATCAACAAATGAACCAACCTAACGAAAGGCAGGGGGAGGGGTGCGGAGAGAGAACAGTCAGACTTATTTCACTGCAAACCCTCTTTGCCTTTCTATCTTCTCTTTTCCCCCCCCTCCCCCCCACCTTCCCGGTCTTGACAAGATTCCACCTATTTTCTACCAAAAATGACCAAAGTTTAGGAATGCACTTTGTGCTCCGTTACCTGGAATGTGGCCTTGTAACCCAGCAACAATTCAGCTTAAGATGTGTTCCTTCCTCTCCCCTTCTTTAACACCCACTCCTTTCTTCCCCTCCCCCCGTAACTACCTGGATTTCTTGATATAAGAAATAGTGCAAAATTGAGCCCGACTGTGCCGATTTTCCAGGGAATAGTGTTTTCTTAATTCTGCATCTCTGAGAGGAAGGGGTCTCTGGGAGTAAGTTCTTAAATCCGTTTTTAAAAACCCATCCGTTTGAAGACGTGAGGTTTTAATGAGGTCGATGTCTGTCGCTGTGCTTGGCGCTGCCCCTGCATTTAGAACCAGATGTGCTGAGTTCTGCCCTTTTCCTCCTTAAACCTATGCAAGTACTCTTCTGATCTTCCCTCCAGTTTAAAGCTCTATTTTACCTACTCCACAATATATTTCTAATAGTGAGAATGTGTAAAGGAAACCAGTCGGTCGATGCGTAGCGTGTGGTAGGTTTGACTTTTTTGATATGGGAAAAATAAGTCAATTTTTTTATACCTTTTTTTGAAACCCGTGCAATATTTCTGAACGCTGTCGTGTGCGGAAGGGACGAGTGATGGCAACTGGGAAGTGGCCTGTTTGTTCCTCGAGAGCAGCTCTTTTTGAAGGTTCAGTCCTAAACCCCGAAAAGGACTGGGCTGAACCTGATGTCTCTCAGCTGTTGGACAGAAACGATCGACCCTAACAGTGTTAATTGCTGCTCGCTGCCTTCCCCTCCGCAGGCTTCATGTTTCCCAGGTCTTTTACAGTGTTATGCTTGAAATGAACAACTTCTTCTGCATGGATCACATACAGTAAAACTCACACAAGTCTGATCTGTATAAATCATATAATCACCTAAGTCGTGCATCTGCCCAAGTCCCGTTCAAGAATTTATATTCTATGCAAATTGCTACATATCTCGTACTTTGCATAAGTCATATTAAACGTCTCGTCCCAACTGAAACGACTTATGTGAGTGAGGTTTACTGCAGTTGCAGTTGGTGCAAAAGAGAACAGTGGAGCTGAACAACACCGGGCAGGAGTAGACCGTCTAGTGTCCAAAGAGATTCAAGACTATTTTTGAATTGAGGTGAGACCTGTGTCTTTTGCTGTTCAGGCGAAAGGCCGGACTCGTCTCTCACTCACTCCCTCGGGGGCTTGAAAGGTACGCGGTGGGATAATGGTGACTGAGACGTAAAAAGAACAGTATCGCTAACCCCATTGCGGCAATTGTCATTCTGACTCTCAGACTATGTAGCCAGTCAAAAGTGCATCAAAGAGCGTTATGCATGTGTGCCCCTCTCATTGAAAGTATCTGAAGCCTGTCCTACACCTGCCTCGTCTGCCTGAGGCCGAAAGCTGAGTGTGTGCATTCGTGAGGGGGGTGGGGGAGGGCAAAGAGATTGCAGCTGGGGCTGTGGTCCCAGTGCTCTGCGTAGACGGACGGGTTTGGTTGCTTTTGGCGACTTAGCACGAAAGATGTTCTTCGCCAGAATTTTTTGCCGCTTCAAATATTGTGCCGGTTGCCAACGCTGTCGTTGTAGAAATTTACAGTGTGCAGAAATGAGCTTGTGTTGAAATGTGCAGCTCTGCTTGGCGCCAAGATTCAGACACTAATTTTGATGTGTTTGGGAGGTTTGCGTCTCTTCACCTGCGAGCAGGAAACACAGTTCCTAGTTTCAGATTTTGATCCGTGACAAAGTCTAGGCTGCACCTGTTCTGCTTCACGTTTGTCACATTCTTAAATCAGCAAGAATGTTCTTTGAAATCCATAATAAAGTTCAGTTTTTCTTGTACGTACACTCGAGAGTTGACATTCATGGTGTGTAAACATTCCTTACAATTGTTTTTTTCTGTCTTCTGCCCGGTGCAGGTTAACATTCTGAACTTGTTGTTTACAAGTGCAAGTTTCCAGATAACCACAAACCGTCTATGACTAAACATTGAATGACTAAATTTTTTTTATATTACACCCAGAAAACGATCTGCTGATCGACTAACAACCAGGTTCCTACTTACTCTTAGGTAAACAAGGCATGTGGAGTAAGGATACTTGCCTATGATTTACCCCACCCGGGAATTAAACCTGGGTCTTCTTGCTTGCGAGGTGAGAACGCTAACCGCTACTCTACAGGACTCCACTTGATTCATTTCCCGATGGGGAGAGGGAAGACGAAAGGAAATCAGGCTAGTCTGGAGGGTGTGACGAAAATCAGGATGTTACAATTTTCACCCCAAATAATGGACGCTTACGCTGACTGAATATCAAACATTCTGCAGAACAAGGACCAATCTATTCAAGAACTCCCTCAGATCGCGGCTTCAGATTAAGATACTTTAATATTAATAACTAACTGTGCAATCAAATCCCATTACATGTGGCAATTTCAGACAGACCACACACACACACACACAAAATATTAAACCAGACTTGCATGTAACAAGATTACAGAGCAACCAAGTAAAAAGCAAGTAGCCATTTAGTAAAGAGTCATTTGTATTCCAGCTTTTGCCAAGAATTGGTTAGGTATGAGCTGCAGCCTTCATTGTCAGGTGGTGATTTATTCCAACAGGACACCAAGAATTTGCGGGTGTTTCCGACTGCAAGCTGTTTCAAATGCACGGCACAACACATCAGCATTGTTGCAGTGAGCCCATCGAAACAGGACAGGTCCTGATTGTTCTCTCGATGCGAGCTCCACGTGGCTTAACGAAACTCTTGAGGTGCTAACCGGATTCAGAAGCAAAAGCTCCCCCCCCTCTTCCACACGAGGAATTGATCGACATTTCCTCCTCTGTCTGCATCATCTCCATCGCTGGAAGCCAAACCTCCTGTGTGACTGCAGCCATGCTGCTGAACCCGGTCTAAAGAGGTGCGCGTCCAAATGTCCTTTCGGTACTTTTATTTGCTTTAAAAAAAATAATACGAAGCAGGAACTCGTTTCATGAATTTATCAATGTTTTCAGCGACGCACGTCGGCAGTCGGCGCTGCAGCCCTGTTCCAGGTCTTGCAGTGCAAGCTTAGCGAAATGTCCAGACTTCGAGGTCCCGCACGTTAAAATCTTCGACTTTGGACAGAATGGAGTTATTGAAGGTCGGGCAGGAATTGCTTCGGCCCCTGTTGAGATCTTCATCCAGCCACAACCCGAAGCGGCCACTTTGTTGGAAAGGAAAAAAAAAAAATGGATTGTGATCAATTTGAAATTTCTGATCGTTCTGCACTTTTAACAACTATGGTCAACAAGTATCATAGACTGTAAACTTCCAACACTCGAGAGAGCTTAACTGTAATGAAAAGGGTTATAATAATAATAATCCTTGCATTTGACATAGTGCGGGAGAGGGTGCGAGGGATGAGGCCATCGAGGGAGGCATCGAGTGGTGGAGTGAGGAGGTCAGAGAGGTCAGGAGGTGCCAGGGAGTGAACGGATTTGAACACAAGCGTGACAGGATCTTGAAGTCGATCCATTCGGTGATGGGGAGCCGGTGGAGCCTGGGCCAGAAATGGTGAGATGTGGGTTCCGAGTTTGGTCCGGGTCAGTTATGTGGGTGGCAGAGTGTTGAATGAGCTGGATCTTGTGAATGGTGGAGCTGGGGAGACCTGCGAGGAGTGCATTGGAATAATCCAAGTGGGAGGTGACAAACTCACCTGCAAGGGTTTTGGCTGCATTTGGGACCTGACAGCTCATCACAACTATAATAATCCTTGCATGTGATCTAGCGCCTTGTCATGCGGTTGAGACATCTCAAAGCACTTCACAAGATATACTGTAAAGACTATATTTGGTGGGCAAAATGGGGCAGAGTAAATCTATGAAAAATACCCGTATCACTTGATGCTGTTTTGCCATGGGCAGATGAAAACACGTTAGAATTAGGAATTAGATATGTTTGGAGCACAGAAGGAATTGGAAGCTTCAATTATTTCCCCTGTTCAGTTACTTCACTTCCTCTCCAATGTTGCCAATACAAAGAGTTTTCTCTCCAGAGTTAGGATCTTGTTCCTCATTTAGAAACCTACCTCCCTCCTCCTATTGCTAGAGAATCCAAACCTCCTTTTATAAAGAACGAATTCTCCCCAGTCCAGGGGAAGATCTGCAAACAGATTGTAGCGATTAGAATCTGCTCCAACAAAAGAAGCCGGCTAAGCACGTGAGTCATTTGATATAGAGCCTTAGATATCTCAAAGCCTTTCACAGAATATACTGTAAAGTGAATTGACTGCATCTGTTTTGGGTGAAATGTGGCAGCCAACTGCACACAACAGTGGCCCACAGACAGCCATAAAAAAATGCAGGCCATTAAACCCCGCTCCTTCCAGAAACTGCCCCAAGCTTGCCTGATAGCACGCTTTGACTCATCAATCTGATCTTCTAGGAGAAACTTCTACACAGATTAAACAATCCTCAAAGCTAATAAAGCCATCTCCACTATTCAAACTCTGTGCTCCTTCCGTAAACAGATAACATTCCTCCCCTCGTCACAGAAATCACTGTGCACAGTTGGATACAGATTTCAGTCTGTATCTCCCTCTATATTCTGTAGTAACTGCAGCACTGAGGGAGTCAATAACTAAGGTACTATCATGAAGTGTGACTCAAGAACGTTGCTCGAGCCCACTCTATATACCTTAAAATCAGGATTAAAGGTGAAGAGAAATGTTTCTCCCGTCCCAAAGAAAAGATCACTCGACTTCGGGGGGTGTGAGGTCAAAGCACCGAACACCTAGAACGGACACAAGTCGGGGTAAGTGCATATAATTCAGGGAAGCGCACATTAATAATCTTTCCATTTGATACCGTGCCTTAACATTGCCACAGAGCATGACATTCTGTCTGTCAGTATAACCAATTCCTTACCTGACTATGTGTGTCCTTTAAAATCAGCAGCACTGGCGAGTCAACTTTGGCCACTTTTCGGTAAAGGGTTTTCAGACTAAAGCCATGCAGAGATGTGTTGTATGCCAGTCGCCAAGGATGCCCCACTGTTCTGGGTGGCAGATGCCTTGAAATCTACAAAACAGTACAACAGAATTCAGGTAAACAAAATTTGGGAGCCTCTGTCCTTGAGGGAAGGGAATTTTTTTTTGTGAAGTTTCATTGACAAGTTAAATAATAATAATCCTTGTATTGATAATATAGCACCTGTAATTGGAAACATCTCAAAGCACTCACAAAGTTACTGAGAAGTCTTATCAGTTTTGTAGGCAAACACATCAGCCGATTTACGCACACAGTAATGCCCCACGACCAGCCCTAATGTGAAGTACCAATTTTATCTGTTTTTATTGCCAAGGACATTGGGAGAAACTCCCTTCCCTTTTGGAAAAGTCCCCACCTAACTAAAAGAAAGAATATATATTTCTTTCATCCAAAATTATCTTCTTCATCCAATTTAATTTGAATGATCTCACCTGGATTCTCTTTCCTTAAGTGTAGACTAAACCAACGGAAGGAGAGTAAAATTTCACCCACAAAATACTTAGACAATTCACTTTGTAGTATATTCTGCGAAGCCTTTTGAGAAGTCTGAACAACGTGCAAAGACTCTATATCACATACAAGGATTATTATTATTATCATCAATATAAAATCTCACTGCCTTCTACCTTCTCAATATGAAACGTTTCCATCAAGTTGCTGCTCCCCTCCAGCACTGGTTCAACATAACCAAACTCTGTCTCGAAGATATCATACTGGTTCAATGGGTTATCCTCTACAGTTATAATCTACGAAAGAAATAAGAAGGCAGAAGCTAAACGCTGTAGAATTGAGGATTTTAAAAAAAAAAACAATCAGTAAATCACAACAAACCGAGAACATTCAACCAAACGAGTCTGGTAATAATACAATGATATTTTGCACCTTTGGGTCAAGCAGGGAAGCTGAGTTGGGCAGTACGCAAGTTGGCCTTTAGACTCACAAACGGGCAGTGCAGAAATGCAAACACTGATCAAATGTGGGTACTCTTTTCCCCGATGTCAATACAGTGGAGAGATATCAATCCAGTCACTGCTCTTCACATCAGAATAGAATCATAGAATTACACAGCACAGAAGGAGGTCATTCGGCCCATCATGTCTGTGCCAGCTCTTTTAAAATAGCTGTCCAAATCAATCCCACTCCCCCGCGCTCTCCCCGTAGCCCTGCAAACGTGTCCTCCCCAAATAATTATCTAGAGACGTGTTGTACTGAATAAAGCAGGTACTGACCTGGACAAAGGGTCCATGTTCCCCGTTTGCTTTGTAAATGATTTTGTATTGCCCTAAGAAGCCCGTCTTTGCTCTCTGCACCACTGCAGTTCTGACCATTCTCTGGCACGAGCCTCTCTCTCTTTCTCTCTCTCTGGAGCAGGCAGAGTGACTCCAAGCACACTGTGCTTCTATGTTTAGACTGTTCAGCACAAAGCGAGTGGCTGACATCAATTTCCTCTCCGCATTCCGAAAAAAACAATCTGAGCATTTAGCTCATTGCGGTGAGAAAAGGGAAAGCTGTCTTTAGAATAAACAGGTTTGTTGACTGATCTGCTCTGCATAAAGGAGAAGTGCTTTTATGCATCAATTATGTCCATTGATAACCTTGACAAACTGCAGCTAGGGATCACTTGGTCCAATGCCAGATCTAAAGTCTGTACGGCCACTAAATGCGGCTTCAACATGGAGCGGTGTGGAAAGTGCCCTTGAGCAGGAGCAAAAGAGAGGCTATTTTACACTTGCGCAGCTATGATTAAATTTGATGAAATAAAATCTCGGAGACTTGAATCTCTCAGCCTGCGTAATGTGCACTTTACATCAACAAAATTATCCCTGATTCCATTCCGTCCCAAAGCTTTCCTGATGAATTTGCTCTACGTACAGGGCGGCGAGTTATTTTCCCCATAAACGCTTCATGTTTTGCTATAAAATCATATTGAATCTGAATATTGCTTGGAATTTAAACGCTCTGGGACGCTACCCCGGGTGAAGGGTGCTGTACAAGTGCAAGTTGTTGTGGTTGGTTTTGCTAAATTGTTGCACAAATCTTTTTTTATAAAGGATCCTTATAAACCTTCCTGGTCTGTAAGTCTCAGGTATTCAACTAAAAGAAAACTTACTGACTCATACTCAGAAAGTTACAGGCAAAGAGTTGTGCAGCACTCCTGTGTGAAGAGCGCAATATAAATACAAGATGTTGTTGCAAAGTTCTATGGAGTGAAATGTCGCAGTAGTCTCTATTGCCTCTATCGCAAGATGTGGCTACACTCACCTCCCAATCTTCGAACAAACCATCGAGGACATTCTCGGGCAAAGAGAACCCGCACTTTCTCTCCAGCAGCACAAAATCGTCCACTTGGGCATCATCCATTCTTTCAAGTGAATAAATCTCAGGTCTCCACTGTTTCAGGTATTGATGCAACTCGTCCACCCTGTAGGAATAATCAGTAACATTAAGAATAACTCGCATTTATATGGCACCTTTCACGCTGAGTGCTGAAAGATATCACCAGTGCCATGTGGGTAGCATTTGTTTTGAGTCACGATATTGATGTTAGTTTTAGCTCCTGATCATATCTAAAGGTGTCAGAGTTCCTCCTGTTGCTGCGAGTTACTAAACTGTGTAGTGACTGTTGCTTCGGCAGCTAAGCTGAGCCAGATGAATGAATGATCAATGAATTGTCTTTTTGTTGAATTGGAAGGAAGAACATTATTGAGGATACTGGGTTTTCTTTCCTACCTCTGCATCAAGGCCTTCACCTCATTTCCTGAATACAGTATATATTTGTGTGTATATATAATATATAAAACAAAATCAGAAACAGTGCATTAAAAAAGACATTTATTTTTAAAAACAAATCCCACCTGGGTGTATCGATTCTGGGCACCTTCTCACCATAAAGTCTGCCTGCAAAATGGAACAGGCCACTGCAGATTCAACGAGCACAATTCTCACCACAGCTGCATATGGTTAAGAGCAATTGTATTGGAGCTATAGCTGGGTTTCGCTGTATCACATCACTTATCATAGAAGTTATCATAGAATAATACAGCGCAGAAGGAGGCCATTCAGCCTATGGTGTCCGTGCCGGCTCTTTGAAAAGAGCTACCTAAACCTTAAAGTAATAAAAGAGGCGCATTCATTACTTAATTAAATCCACTGAGCTCGACTGGCAGGCAAGGAGTAAACAAACTAATCTGAATGCAGTGGCCTTAAAAAGCCAGGCAGACAATATTGAGTCAGAACATGACCAGGGAAGCTTCACTGTGGGTGGATAGACTGGATTTTCCTATCTTATAGTGAGGGGCTGCTGAACTGCATGTACACACATCATAGGTTTGAGGCAATAGTGTTACATTTCTGGAAGGACTCATAGCATATCTTTGATTGGGATTATTTTATGGTGACTTTTCACTGCTGAGCTGCAAATGGTGAGTGGGTATAGCATTCTGGTACTCATTAATGACTTTTATACTGATTTTAAAAAATCTTACCATTCCCCACGGTTTCCTGACATTTCTATACAGGATGCTATTTTTCCGTTTACTAACTGATAATTAAGTCCAGTTCAAGTACTTTCCAAAATTATCCGAGTTAAGCAACAGGATGCTTTACATTGTGGAAATGTCATCAGTTTGACTAATTTTAAAGTGTTTTTGTTTTCGAAAGAAATGATTGCCTTCCAAGTGAATGAACGGATTATAATCATGAAACAAGTTCCCCAGTTTTGTGGATATTGCCCAATCTTACCACAAGCCTCCTCAATCTAAAATACGTTATTTCTTGGTTCCCACAATACAGACAAACTTACCCCGATTCCTGCCACTCTGGAGTCAGTTGAAATGATCAGCCTGTATCTCAGAAGCTGAGCTTTATAAAGTGTGCTGTAATCTTGGTCGAAAATCATTACATGACATGTCTAATCTGGAGGCTACCCCTGCGAAGCTACTTGTGAACACTATGATGATAATTAGCCTCCTTCACTCTCTGTCACTGTATTGTACGCTGTCCGCTTCCGTAATCTAGATAGGAAGCTTCTTGTACACTGCAGTACAGGGTGGGGCAATTCATCGGTGCTTTAGCATTAGACCAACCGGGATTTATATTTCTTTTCCTTAAAATTGCTGTGGTTTCTGGGCTGAGGAGAACCGTACTATGTGCAACTATTGCATCAGCTCGTCCCAACAACAACAACAAAATTACATTTGTACAGCGCCTTTCACGTCGGGAAGACGTCCCAAGGCTCTGGAGCCAACCAGTAATGCTCTGTGCAAATTGATTGCAACTTTCGCCTACAAATACAGTCACTTTGCTTTACAGCAATAATCTATCAGGCATCTTTCCTAACTCCAAATCAGTGAAGAGATCTGAACTCCACTGCTATCTTTCTCATGTGAAAGATATGACCTTCTGCAATCCAGGGAGGTTAAAAGTTGGGCATTTGCAATAAAAAGTAGTGGTGGAACAGGTTTGGACCAGTCGGTGTTAGGTCTATCTTGCAATGGTACAATCAGCAAAGCGTCTCGGGTCAATGATTGCTATCGAATGATTTTGTCTTGAGATTAGCAACTCATCCAAGCTAGTTACCTCTGAAGACATCATTAATGCTCCCTGTTTGTGAGGAAAAGTGAACGCAGAGACCAAAACAACCTGAATGATATTGCGCCTTGTTGCTAACTACGTTGCATTTAGTGACCGTTTTGATATGTAAGCCCATAGTCTGTCGAATTCAAAGTATTGTTTGATTATAATGCCTATTTATAGTATCTTTAATGTATGCACGTCTTTATTATACCAAATAGTTAACAGCAACAACTTGCATTTATATAGCGCCCTTCACGCATCCCAGAGTGCTTCACAGTTGCGGAGTCTGAAAAAAAGCCGTGTGGCGAGGGAGTGGGGAGGTGACAGTAACCACGATCAAAATGTAAGGTACCAAAACCGCTGGCCACGGTCTAGGACTGTTTGTACAGCAAACGATAGTATCAGCAGCTTGTTGTAAACAAGTTCACGAGGACGACCGTATTCACTCTCATTTCTGCCTTTGAACTCCTAGCAACATGTTTGAAAGGAACATCAATAGTAATAATCCTTGAATTAGATCAGAGAAGTTACTCAACCGGCAGACAGAGAGGGAGGGAGAGAGAGCGAGAAAGAGAGAGTGTTGATACTCACTGGTACAGATACAGTTGCAAATGTTTCCCAGCTTCGGTAATGGTTGCGTGTGATTCCCATCCCAATGGGCAACTTGTCATTGGGTGGCAGATCAGTAGGAATCTATTGGGTAGTTACTTTGCTTCATATGTAACAGGTCAGCGGACTTGTTTGAAAGAGCTTAAACCACAGCTAAGCAGAGGCAGCAAAAAATAAATAGGAAAGGATTCCATTCTGTGAATGTCCAAGGGGCTCGAGGCCAAAAAATGCCATTTGTGTTTACCAATTACTTTAACTGCTCAGGACTTCCTCAACAACAACAACTTGCATTTATATAGCCCCCCACCCCCAGCGCAGGGTAGCTTCCCAGAGCTCTTGACATTGATGGAGAACGATGCTGAGCCGGGGGGGGGGGGGTGGAACAACCGTAGGTACTGTCGAAGAGGAAGATCTTGAAGCGCGACTTGAAGACGGGGGAGGAGGGGGCAGGGCGGAGAGTTGGAGCAAGTGTGTTCCAGAGTTTCAGGGCATAGCGGCTGAAAGCCGCGGCCACCGATGGTGGAACGGAGGGCACGGGGGACGAGCAGTTCTTTTTTTTTTCTATTTTAATCAAATTCTGCCAACTTTAGCAAGAGGTTTTATTTTGTTCTTCTGTGACTTCCTCTCCAGTTTTCGCCGCGCTCAAGTCAGGCAAGTAGTTGCCTGCTTGTGACCTAAACCAAGCATCGTTCAACTTGTTTTCCACAGTCAGAAGCCAGGAGACCAGTGTGAATGTCCCCCCCCACACACACACACACGCAAGGCACTGGGCTTTTGTACTTTACTGAGCAACCGTTCTGGCCATAGGTTGATTGTCGGAGAGATAAGACAGACGAATGATGGTCCTGGACACGGTGCAAGCAAGACTCCGGCAAATTCATGTCATTCACCGGATGCAATGAAATTCAAAGATACAGCAAGTCAAAGGTGAGTTTCTTATTCCTCAGCAGCCCTAGAAGGTGATCATTCAGAAGTGATCTGAAAAGGTTTGTACAATATTTAAGGCAATGTGGCCCAACTCACAAACTGCTCATCTGGGATTTGAACCTGGATCTCGGCATTCAAACTCCACCGCAAAGGAAATTTGTCATTGGGAGATTTCATGCCAACTGGGCCAATAATATGCAAAGGAATGCCTCTAGCCATTGTAATTTTGTTTATTTGGAGGTAGCTTCCTGCAGTTGAACTCTTACTGGGCAGAACTGTAGGAATATCTGCCACAGCGTGGATGTAACCTGTGGCCGCTACTTATATCATTAACCGGTCTGTGCAATTACATCACAAGCAATGAACACGCACGACAAATTCGCCCTTTCCTGTGATTCTTTGTCATCTGTCACCGTTGTGACTTAAAAACGTTGAGAAAACATTCTTGTTTCTTGCCAGTGTCCGTCAGTAACCTCGACGATGAGAAGAGCTGCTGCAAACGTGACTGGAAATAGGCATGTAAATGAGAGAGTTTATCTGCGGACATGTAGTCGAAGTTTGTTATTGCCTTCTTCGGGCACTGCTCGAGAGCGCTCACAGCGTCCCATTCACTGCCCGTCTAAGCAAGTGACGGGCACAGGAACAACAGCAGCTTGTGATCCAGGGGGGGAGTGGAGGGGAAGTCAGATAACAACATGTCCTTGGGGGAGCCTTTTTATACGTCCTTGGGCAATGCTGCCTTGAGAGAAACAGATAAGCTCAGTTTTTGTAAGTTTAATTTTTTTTGGCTTGTTTCTCTAAACGTTGGAAAGGGAAATGCAGAGTCATCCTATCGATCTGGGCTGGCTTTGAACCCGGGTTAGAGAGGTAGAAGGATAATGCACCACACTGTAACCTAATGCTACTCTACTGTGTCAGCACTGGTTCCAATCACAAGACAATGTGCGACAATATCTAAAATGCAGCTGACGAGCTCCGTACACAACACAGCCATTGTTACCCCCTAATGTCACGCAGCCCTCCTGTTCCGAGCTTACATAATCGACCTGGGTTCACGGATTCGTTGTGAGGCAGTTAAATTTGCAGAAGGCACTAATCTGAGAAGGGAGATGTAATCAGAGGAGACAGCCAAGAGTTTGCAAAGATCATAAACATAAGATAGCAAATTTAAGTTCATTAGCTGAGAGGAACAATGAGATAAGGGTGGGGGGGTTTCAGACTGGAAAAGAGAAGAGTCGGTGGGGACCTTGTAGAGGTACATAAGATGTTTAATGGGATAGAGAAAGTATACCCAGAATACTTTTAAGATAAGGTAATGCAGCAAGGAGAGGAGGCCTTATAATAATATAATACAATACTTGCATTTGATATAACACCTTATCACGTCTTCGAGACGTCTCAAAATGCTTCACAGAATATACTGCAAAGTGAATTGACTGTACATTTTGTGGGTGAAACTGTATGTTTTCAGCGTCGTGAACGGTAAGTTTAGCACAGACACCAGGAAGCATTCCTTTATACAGAGAGAAATCAGCAACTGGAATGGCTCATCGGGAATAGTAATGTATCCCGACGCGTAATAAGTGAACTTGTATTTGCTACAAATGGTTGTGTTTACAATAAGATGTGAATATGTGAACGTAACTTACTTTTCCTGAGACATTGCAAACCAGAACTCCTCAGATCTCTGCTGGCATCTATTGCGAGGGACGGGCACTCCAAACTGAACCAAGCTGCTTCTTCTCAAGGGAACTCGAACCTTTAGGCATAAAAACATCATCCGCAACTTCACTTCATCCTCTTTAGCATCTTGGAGTTCTGCAACGCAAACCGAATCTGGTCATCAGTCTATATTGCAACGTCTCAATCAGTTACAACCACTAACTAATTATTTTTATTTTGTAATTATTGATGGAGAATATCGATTATTGTTGATGTTGATGTTTGTTTTTACCTTTCTTTCAGTTTTTTTTAAAGTAATTTTTTTTGACTACAAAACATTATCTGAAGTGCTTTAATAAAATTTATATAATCACAAATAGGGGGCAAGATATGAGGGAACTGAAGAAGAGAGTTCCACGGTACCACACTAAAATGATCACGATTATTAGGGATATCCAAACCAAACAAGTTTCAACAATTGGAAATTAATTATTTACTGCAACAACTTGCCTTTTAAACAAACACATTTTAAATCCAAAACCTTTTTGTTGCTTGCATACTCGAGGAAAGCCTTGATGCAATTGCAGTACATTTTTGTGAAAGGAAGGTCCTTGACTTTTTTTCTATATATATGTATTATACACACATACATGTATTATACACAAATGGATTACTGCTGTTTGACCTTGTGAACAACAAGTCTAATTGAACAAGGCTCTGTGCTATTTTTAGCCTGTGACATTTATCAGCCATTCAATACCATTGAGCATTGGATCTATTCGGAGGTTACTGTATTTTGACAAGAGCATGGGAATCTGTGTATGATGATAATAATAATAATTAATAATCCTTGAATTTGATATAGCGCCTTATCACGTCTTCAAGTGAATTGACTATATTTTGTGGGCAAAACACGGCAGCCAATTGTGCACAGCAGTGTCCCACAAACAGTCGTGGATTGAGTGACCAAACTATTATTTTTATTTATTTTTGAAGGGATTATTAACCCTGGAAAAGCGATCCGCCAGTCAACTAACAACCGGGTTCCTACTTACTGCTAGGCAAACAGAGGTGTATGGAATAAGGAAACTTGCCTAACGTTTCACCCTGCTTGGGAATCAAACCCAGTCCTCTCTCTTGCAAGGTGAGCACACTAACCAATATGCCGCACAACTATTCAAAGAGAGGGATTCGGTAACTTGAAACTTGTGGCGAAACGTTATCAGGTTGGGTGGTCCTAGCTGGACAAATAATGTGCTGCAGAGTTGCCATTTATGAAAGGGTTGGTTACGTACTGGAGTAGACTTTTCTGGTTGCAATAGGAATAAGTTATAAATCTAATATAGACAAGTGAAGGGCTGGAAATAACCATCTGGACAGTCCTAAAGCATAAGAAAAAAAAATTGACTCTATTACTCTCTTTCTGCTGCAACTTTAATTTACTTCTCAATCTCCTCGATCAATTTCTTTGCCAAATAACTAGCAAACTTCCTCATAAATCTGCTGATATAATCTTCCTCCACCACCTTCCTGGGCAGTCAATTTGGCACGCTCGTTGCAAACTCCAATTACTGCTGCTGAGGAACATCACTATTCAAAGAGCGTAGTGGGAATGCATATGTTCCTGATATCTCGTACCTTGTGTTAATCCACGCTTTTCCTTCAAAGTAGGTAACTCGAAATCCCCTCCACTGTCCTGTTTGCTGTATTGATAAGCTGTTAACTGATCCTTTGCTCTGGAACTGTTCATTAAAGAGCAGACATCTTGAACCTTTAGTCCACGACTTGAAAGTTCGGTGTGAAATAGTTCTTCTTTAGTCTTTTCCAGATCATGTTCTGAATCACGAGCTGAAAGGACACTGGCATGCTCTTCATCTGATAGACGTATTTCCCAAAAAGAACCGTCTTTGTTATCTGCACTGTTAACTGAATCACAGAGGATCTCTAATTCCTTTTGTTCATACAAACCCTCCTTTCTTAGTTTACTGGACAGAATACATTGGTGGCCATGACTTGTGTTGTCTTCTGGATTTTTTTGCCTTGTAGAACAGAGTCCATTTTGTGATATTAAATTATCTCCCCCGCATTTCACTTTGCCGTCAAAGGGCAGTATTTCCTTATTTCCAATCGTACCATTTTCTTCCAGATCCAAACACATCACGCAGTCCTGCAATACCGCTATTTCATCCAACGATTTCTCATTAGCCTGACACAGAGAATCGGGACAAGAGTAGGAGACCCCAATGATTTTTGCCAGAGGTGTTTCTTTACTGCCGGGAAATAAATGGGCCTCGTTCATCTCTGCACATTGAGGTTTGGCTTTGATCTGAATGGGAGTGTTGAAACGACGAGCCTTCCTTTGGACAGTGTTGGCAATATTTCTTCCTGTTGGTTTGTATTGACTGGAATTTGTCTCAACAGTAACTTTCCGTCTGTAGAAAAAAGGAAGGAAGAGTGTATTCATCCCAGTTGCTTCAAAGCAAATTGGAGTCAAATCAACTTGCATTTAATTCCATAGCAATACGAGCACGAGAGAACCCCAAATTCTCCCAAAAGGTAGTAAAGATGCTTAACCTAAAATTTAAGATTTGTTCAAAGAGTTGTTTAAAATTAAAGTAATTTGTAAGTTTGCTTCCGATATTTCCTCTCCCACCCCTTTTCCCTGTGTGATACAATTAGTTGGGAAAGTGAGATCGGCCTGTCTATTCATCTGGCGACCATATTCCTTTCTGGAGCGGGGCTGGGTTAACAATTTGTTCGGTTAGGCACCACTAATTCCGTAACCGCTGATTCTTTGGGGACCAAGTGATGATTTTGCTTTCTTTATTGCACCTCCCAGGAAGTCTTTGCCTCCCCAGGTTCTGAAGAACAATAAGGTACTGTGTTTTTCCACTTCCTGGCTCTTAATTGTGTGACCTTTGCTGGCCTCTGTCCCACTTCCATTCCCACCTCCCGGCACTGCCTGAAACACAGTAATTCTTCTTCCTTTAATTTTGCAGTAAGCCTCTGGACTCCTCTCTGAGAGCTCAGCTCCACTGTTCCAAAAGGTTTGTGTTTCCTTTTAATGCTATTTTTGCCCAGAGCTCTGAATTCTACCTCAATTCAGTGGTTAATCGATCACATTCATTCTTCCACTTTGTCCCTAAATCTGCAATTCCTCTCTCAAAGATTGTAAAATGGAAAGCTGGTTGACTTGATTAAGAGGCAGAGATTTTAAAACCACGAGTGGATACTTAACGCTGTTTAAATATCTTGTTCAATAGCAATTTGTGTAGTGGTTTACTTCAGGCATCCTCAACCTTGTTTGAATAGGCAAGAGATCATGTGTGACAAAGGTAAACTGACATCCCTTAAGATGCTATTGATGCTGTTGTATGGTTGATACATTAACTGTCATGCTTGGTAAGTAGAGAAAGGATCTTTCCCCATCTGACTGATTTTCTTCCTTGTCTCTTTCCCCTCCCCACAAATCTCCCCTCACCATTGCCTCAGTTGACCTGCCAAAATACAGCAAACCCAATCCCAGAAAACGGTGAATAATCAGTCAAGGCTGCAATTTAAATGTGACTGGTTGAGAGCACTGTACAGGTCATCCCTGTTGCAACATTCCTCGCTGGAGTGCAAGTCTGCTTATAACCTAATTTCCTCCAGTTCTGACTCTGATCTTTATATTTTCGTTTTGAACGAAGCACTTACAAGGGTGAGGAGACCCTGAACTTCATGCGGGAGACATCTGTGTGGCAATTGGCCGAAATGATCGATGCCATGCTGCAGGCAAAGAAGTAATCCTCACAGCCATTTTCCTTAACCAATGGGTGGGATTTATACGGGTCGAACAGGATCTTTTTTGGAGTAACAAGGAGGACGCCTTTCACAACTCCCTGTGAGCAGATCATAAATACAATGAGCAGAGGTATTTCCAATAAAGCAAGCAGCACTTCATATTCAAGCTGTTAGTTTAAGTGAACCTTTATATATAAATTGCCCACTCTGGAGGTTTTAAAATAACTGTGACTAATTGCTATTCGTTGTACATTTCTGAAATGGTTTTGTAAGCCACAAAATCTGTCAATACATATATTTTTACATATACCTTTTTTTAGCTGTTAAGACTCCAGCAGTTAACCCAATGGTCCCCAAGCATTGCCAATCTGCACCTACTACTTCCTGGAATTAGGGAGAGTGTGCATTCCATTCCAACAATCTATCTCTTAAAATTCCCATGTGTAGGTGGGATGGATGAAATTCTCAGCTTGGTTTGGATACTCTTAAGTATGGAGAGGGATTTCCACATGTGTCAGGCATGTGATCCCAAAAAAATCCCGTCTGACCAAAAAAAAATATATATACCTTTCTATCTGTGAAATATTTGCAACAGATTTTGAGAAATCTTTCAGAAAGGGAGTTTGTGTCTTGGGTGGGGAACGAAGAGTGTTCTGTGGATGGTTCTGAGCTGCATTGCTGCACAGTGGACATTTTCACAGAATCGGCATCCTGAAAATTACAGAAGGTCAAAAGAATGACTCATTGCTATTACCACAACACAACATGCACTGAATAATTAATTTTGCTGTACTTTGAGAAAATACGATGGAATCATTTTAGCAATAGCTCTCAGTGATGTTTTGCACTATTTCGCCCGCAAAATACACAGTCAATTAATTATAATATATCTGATGAAGCACTTTAACATGGCTCAACGATATAAGGCGCTATATCAAATGCGAGGATATTTGCTATTAAGTAACATTTACAGTGACACAAATCAGAGACAAAAATATATATATCCCAGCAATTCTAAGAGAGTAGGTTCTCAATAGCATTGTCATTTTGGAAGTGGCACTGAGTAAAATAACCAGTAGTTACTATGAGTGATGGTTAACTCTGTATTGAGGATCAGTTCTGGCTGCTTTCTGCCGCTGTGAATAAGATTGTGTTGATGGCAAATGGAGGAGAAATTTCACCTGGGTCTATCTTTACTCTATTTTCCCAGCATTTTAAAATAGGCTGAATGTGATAAATTCTCAAAACTCAAATGTGACCCATGAAGCCAAACATTCATAGATCTTACAACAATATACCAGGGGGAAAAAGCTTCAAAATTAAAACCGGGTTAAAAGATATTTCTCAGATAAATAAATAAATTATTATAATAATTTGGTCACTTAATCCACGACTGTTTGTGGGACACTGTTGTGCACAATTGGCCGTTGCATTTTGCCCAAAAAATATACAGTCAATTACAGCATATTCTGTGAAGCGCTTTGAGACGTCTGAAAGACGTGATTGAGTGATATATCAAATGCAAGGATTATTATTACTATTGTTAAATTCTGCACTCTTTGAATTGCTAAGAAAACAGTGTAAATCCAGACCCGAGTAGAATTTCTACCCTGTAATTGAATGCACATAGCATCTTGAAAGGGTCAGTAGATAATTGCTTGTTCTGCTGTTGCATTGATCGCTATGAATCACTTACCAGAAGTTTGTCATACTCTGCATCTGACAGACTCAGTGACTGGCTGTGACTTGAGGACATGGGGCTGTGATCACTGCGGGAGATGCCTGGATCCAGTACATATATTCTCTGCAAAGGGGAAATAAAAATCAATGCACATGTTTAGTTCAGCTCAGAATTTATATTGAAACAGAAGTTTCCACACGACAATACGGGGACAAATGTAGACGTATTCAGAATCTCATTGTTTTCATAATTTAATACCACCTAGTCTTAGCCTGTGTACCATTTTGTCTTAACAAGCTTTCGAATTGAGATTGAATTTAAGCTATTAAGCATCATCTTAACTTTTTTTTAAGAGAGTGGCTAAGACCACAAAATATTGTAGGTCTCTATTAAGTAGTTTGCCCACAAAATATCAGTCAATGCACTTTACAGCATATTCTGCAAAGCGCTTTGAGATGTTTTGAAGACATGATGAGGCGCTATATCAAATGCAAGGATTACTATGATTATTATGATGAAGTGGCTCACATACCTGCCCGGGGACAATGCTGTGGGAGTAAAGCTTGTTTAACTGAGCCAGTTGATTTGGAGTAGTGTTGAACTTCAAGGCTATGCTGCAGAGGGAATCGTCAACTGCTGCCTGCAAAAGTGATCACACACTGAATCTTGCATCTCTAGAATGACTGAAATGAAACGAATGAAACTAGAATGAAATGAGCAAACGAAACTTATCGAATTGAAAAACGCCCTTACCGTGTATTCAATGGTGCCTTCAGGTTTCTTGTGAATCAGTCTTCTGCCACTCTTCTCTGCCTTTTTATCTGGCAACGAATCTTTCAAGAAAATGTACGACCATTTAATATCTTTGCCTTGATCGCGCTCTGCTGCCTTGCAAAGTGTATATTTTTAAACACGCATGCATAAAAATATATATTTATGCTGCAGCTATTTAATTTGATAGCACAAGGCAGGGGGTCGCATTGGGACAAGTGGTGAATGAATGTGATTGAAGTGACTCAAATAAAAACTCACAGTGCATTTGTGAAGGTACTTCAAAGAAAAAAAAGGTAGGTCTATTGGGAATACTTGTCCCATTAATGTCAGGTATGAGAGGATGGGAATGAGATTGGATTCATATGGAGGAAAATGCCAGCACAGACTTTATAGTCCTGAATGGCCTGTTCCTGTGCTGTAACATTCCATGACTCTGTGAAAGTGGCGTATATTTCCTCAACGGGTCACAGCAGCCTTCAGGAGAGGAAGTGGGAGGGTAAAACATTCGAAAGAAAAACTCACTCAGCCCTTGTGTGCATTCATTCCAACCTTGTCTCCAAGGCAACCAGATAAAAATACTGAGCGAATTCTGTGGACTGAATATAAGCACATTTGCCAGGTTTAGAACCCCAAATCATAATCGTAAGCATGTTGATTTTTCCGATAGATGTTTATCTGAGGTGGGGGGGGGGGGGGGTAGTGGAGATGTTGGTGGAGAGTATAACCTGTGAGTGTCAGTTTGGGTGGGGGAGAGAGATGGTGAAGTAGCAGCCATCTATTTTTTTTACACAGGCAAAAACCTAGGCTCATAGTAGACACGACAGATACTTATTGACTTATTGACTCCCCCTCCACCCACCCACCCACCCACCCTGCTCTATCTACCTGCTGTGTTGTTCAGTTATCTCATCTTGTAGGGGATACTATAGGTAGCCTCAGCAAATCTGAGCTCAGAAGCCCACAGCTCCAGCTCCTAATCACTACCCACCTCCCCCATCCAAACCCCTTGCAAGAAAGTGTCAACAGAACTTGTGGACATAGGTAAAGGACTCACCCGTGATGGGCCAAATGGACACTGACACTCACCTTCCTAACTGCGATGGCGAGAAGAATATTTCTTTCATGCACTTACCCATGGAATAGTACCGTCTTAGGTCTGGATTTCGTATCCTTCCTGTCTGACTCATTTTAGATGGAGAATTTGCTGTGTGTGACGCACTGGATTTCTTCCTGGTGAAGGCAGCCTTGCTCATCCTTCTCTCTGTCCCTGGAGAACTGATTGACGTTGTACAGGTGGTTTTCGTCTGTTTAAATTTCTTCTTTATCCTTTTAGAAATAATGCCATTAATTTGTTTTGTTTTTTCTGGCAGCTGCAATCTCTAATATCCCAGTATTCAGTCTGCTGTCTTTAATCAGACTTTCTCAAACTGGATCTGTCCTGGTAATTAATAATAATAATACTTGCATTTGATGTAGCACCTTATCATGTCTTTGAGACGTCTCAAAGTGCTTCACAGAATATGCTGTAAAGTGAATTGACCATATTTTGTGGCTTCTCGTTGGGAAAAACTGGAACGCAAAACCCAATTGCAGATCTAAAGTAAAAAAAAGTGGTGTGTTTATTTCCCACTAGCATTTATTTTAGCATGTGGTGAAACCAACCATTGGTCCATAAAATATCCTCCTTATAATGGGGCTCTACCAGCCGTCTAAGCAGGTGATGATTTAAAGCTATTTCAATGTTTTATTACAAGTTCTGGGACTGGAAAGAAAAGAACAGTTCACCTCCACTTGTGAAAGGATAACGCTTTCCCCTCTACGCATACACAACACACATACACACACTCCTAAAGCCATTCTAAGATTTATATTTAATGCAGGAGCCACACTATAGACTACCAAGGACACCATGAGGTGACATGATGTCAAATCAATGATATCCTACCTGCAGCTTGGGTTTGAACTTTGCTACAGAATGTAAACAGCAGGACCTAAAGGCAATGGACTAACATGTCCTGAACAAACCTACTGACATTGACACATCCCTGTTTCATAAAGTTGAAATCTTGTTCGATAATAACATAGCAGCCAGACACACTGAATCCCATTGATTTTTACGAGTTGCTCTATGTATTTTTTGATTGAAATAGCATTGATTCCTCCAGCACTTGAAAATGTTTTACAGTGCATGGTGGATTTTTTTTAAAAAAATTCTTAACAGGGGTTTAAAATATCTCTGAGTATCTTATTTAAAATTTGGTGAATGTTTGAAAAGCACTTTTAAACTCTGAGTTTCTTATACCTTATTGCAAGCCTTCGCTTTTACGAGTTGAAAAGACACAATGTCCTGCTGTCTTCACAGCTGTTAGACTCTAATCAGGGATCGCTAGCCCTGAATTCTTCGTTCAGAACGTTGAATAGACTATGCTGCAAATGTAGTTTCTAATCCCATTATTTAGGGTACCTGCCAATATGCTGTGCTATTTGTACATATTTGTACTCAAGAGCAGTGCGACCATTATATTTGGCTCTATCCATTAGACAGCACCTGCTATTGCAGAACAGTGATGGCATTAATTTAGCAATATGTATGATCTTTGTCAGATCATAAGAATTACTGGATGAAAGAAGATCAAAGTCCATCCGGTTTGCCTTGCAGCATCCTGGCAGTCACATGCACATGTCATAAGCCACATACCACTGAGTAACATGTTACCGAAGTAAAAAAAAATGGAGAACTGTGCAAAATGGGGAATGTTTACAATGTACCATTATAACTAAGGTTCAGGTAACCTCACAATACAACTAGTTTATATCTGATTTCTGAGGCAATAGATTACGGTCTTAATTGTTGATCCAGGCTCTCTTTCCCCTTTAAAATCTAGTCTGTTTGATGCATTTTTGCCCACAAAATATAGTCAATTCACTTCAAAGTATATCCTGTGAAGAGCTTTGAGACGTCTCAACTATGTAACAAAGCACTATATCAAATCCAAGGATCATTATTATTATATTTGTCCCTCGGTTTCCTTTCTTTGTAAATATCTTGAAGGGTTAACTCATTGCTGGGGATTGGTTTGGTGTCTGTCTGCTCAGCCTCAACAACAACTTGGATTTAGATAGCGGCCTTCACGCAGGTTACTATCCCAGAGCCTCCTTTCCCAAGCTATCATTTGACTGTCGCCAAACTATTCAGGTGGGGTGGTCCTGGCTGGACAAGCAGCAGGAAAGCTTGCCAGACCGTGCGATCAATGGCAAGCTCCTGGAAATCGAATGGGGATGGACACTGTTTGGTTGTCCCTCAACATTTCAAACTGATTAGTAGCACGTCGATAGTTTAACCCTTACCTCGCCCTCACACCAGAGATATAATCTTGATTTTTCTCCTTTGATCTTGAGGATCCATAATATTTATTTAGCATTCCAAGCAACCCAATTATCATTGCCACCACTTTCACTTCTGTCTTTTGGTTGACCTCTTGTTACATATGAATGGCTCTGCTCTGTGTGACACATAGCTGTGAAGAGAACAGAGAATAACAAGAAAACGGCTCCAGCAAAAGCCACAATATCTGTCACCCCCTTTAGCGGTAACAATTCAGAATGTAATTGGCTGCCGCGTTTCGGCCATAAAATACAAATCAATTCACTTTACAGTATATTCTGTGAAACGCTTTGAGACGTCTCGAAGACGTGATAAGGCGCTATACCAAATGCAAGGATTATTATTATTAGTCTCAATTTCCGATTATTCAGAGGAATATTCACAGGGAACCATCAGTTAGTCATGGAACAATTGTAAGAGTTTTTGCACTAAATAAATAATCAGCTATCAAAAAGTAATTGCTTATTCAGTGTAAAAACTTATAGAGCTTATACAGTATATAAACAACATATACAGAGTTTCGCCCATATAATATTTTGTCCATATAATATACAGTCAATTCACTTTACAGTATATCCTGCGAACTGCTTTGAGATGTCTCGAAGACATGATAAAGCACTATATAGGATTGCAAGGATTATTATTATTATGATTAAAAATTGACTGTCGTTGAGACAACCATGATGAACACAGCAACACTAACTCAAATCATATTATGGGGTCTAGTGTTAAAGAAAAAGGAGTCATCCTATGTTTGAGATACTGCAGCAGGGATTTTCAATGATATGCAAACCCATGATGCTCACAGGAGAGATGCACAGAGGCTGGTGCGAGGCTGACACAGTATTTTAGCTATGGTTGGAGGCGTGTTTCTGTGCTTTACTTTCGTTTGCTCCCCATTGCATTGTAATTTCTAAACAGCAGATTGCTTTTTCCTAACAACAAACCTCAGTCTCGACTCTCCCCACTCCCCCATCCCCCCAAAACCCACAGCTCCCCAGATCCTTGCTCTCTCTCTCTCTCTCTCTCCCCTCCTCCACCCCCTTCACATCACCCTCTGGAGATGGATGCAACACCATTAAATTTGCTTTACCTGTCAGCACCATCACGTTTGATGACTGGCATCTACCTCCAAGGTGGATTGAGGGTGTAACAAGCAATGAGCCTGAAGAACCAAAGGAACAAGGGAGTTAAAAAAAAAGCACATCGACTGGTCCTCAGCAGCTTGTCTGGATGCTCCTGGCTCACCCCCAAACCCCAAAGGGTTCTTAAAGCAGAATAAATATCCTCCTCGCAAAGGCTTGGCAAACCTAAAGTGATCACTTCCCGTTTGGAACAGGTAGGTGCAGGTGACTGTCGCTGTGTTGGTTGGTTGGGAAGAGCAGTTAAGGAAGAAACATGTTTATAGTGTCATTGCATTGTAAACAACAAGTTAGGCACTGATATGTTGTCTCCAACCCAGGACCAAAGGCATCAATGCAAAGTGCTGATTAGGTTTATAAGTATCCGGGCTGCTTTCGTTTTGACAGCAGGATACTGCAAGTTAACCTTGTCATGACATTTAATTAATAGCATTGGATCATTTGCAGGAATCGTTTTATTGCTGTTTTGGACCATGTGGTCCTGTGGTCATGAGGATATCTCTTGGACCAGTAACGTTATGTGTGTGAGGCCCCATCTCTTTCCCCCTCTGGCCACAGCCACACATACACACACACACACACACACACACAAACCTTCCCCTTTCACCCCATCCACTCTCTACGTCCCGGAGCAAATAATCTATAATTCGGATATTCCCTGAGCTCTCAAAGACAATTGTGCAATTCTGGGATATTAACTCATTCCCTCCTGGCTTCCTTCCTTCCTTGCACAGATAAAACATCCATCAGGACCTGAAACCATTGTGGCTCTTATTATACAGTATAGATCCCATGAGACCGCATTGATGATCCAAGATGACAGAGGGAGAAAAACATTGGACTCTGCACTTAACTACACCTCAAAGAGTTGAGTTTATGAAGCTTTAATCTCCTCGTTGACTCTGACTCACCGAGATGTGTTCATGCCCTTTAGCCCAGTCCAGTCTTTGTGCTATGTTATATATAATGCATACAGGATATCGTGACAAAAATATGTTGTATTTTTCAATAACATTTTTCTTTCTTGCCCCAGGGAAAGGCGTTTAATATTTCCTTGTAAACAACATCGCTTCTGACATGTGATGTGTGAATCTGAATCACAAAACTCAAGGCTCACAATATTTGAGATTTGTGACACGAGAGAGAGCAAGCACACGAAACGCAGATAACTGAAACTTTATATGTGACAAAAGGTAAAATATAACTGAGATGTTACCCACTGACAGCAATGTAAATTGATGAACATTATTCCAAGATTAATAACATCAAAACCTTTCAACTAAGAGTGAAGAGTTTCAGTATAAATATATTTTATTTCCTCTATAATAGAGGGACTAAAACATTGAGCTCTGCACTGCCAATAATCCTAGTATCTTAAAAGTCAGAAGAGGTAAGGCTCACTTATTTTAATTACCATCCAAACTGCAACAATTTATAGTTGTGTAGTTCAGGGACAGACTTTACCTTTCAAAAACAAAGTATAAATCTTTAATACATCTACAATTCCAACTCAGAAGTTGTGCCATGACTCTGTGCAGATTTCAGCTCATAATAAAAATGTATTGTACATTGTTTGCAAGTAGATTTCTATAATAGGTTATGCAAATAAACCCACAATTATTGCTTTGCTCTATTATTGCTGTGTTGGTTGGGTGTTTATAGTGAGGGTGAGAAAGGCAATGGCTATATTTTCTTCCTGTGATGAAGAGGTGGTACAATCCACATTAGGATAGATCCTGTATTGTCTGTGAAAGGAAGGACCTTGAATGGATCACATATGTGTACTTCTTTCCAATGTGTTTTTATGCGAAAACAGTTGGTACTGGAACAAAACACAGCATGAAATTATTAGGACAAACCTCTCCTCACACCAAAATTGGTCCCTTCACTACCCAGCCCCCTAATGTAGTCAGCAGAAGAGGCGAATTGTTCCCAATTCCCAGTGTGACCTACATTTCTCAAACCCCAATTGTCATTGAAAAATATTGACTGGGCCAACTGGAAAAATACTGAGAGGTATTTAGGTGTGTGTATGGGGTGTGGTATGTGTGTGGGGGGGGGTCTGTGTGTATGTGATGGGGGTGGGGGGGGGTCTGTGTGTATGTGATGGGGGTGTGGGGGGGTCTGTGTGTATGTGATGGGCGGTGGGGGGGGTCTGTGTGTATGTGATGGGGTGGGGGGGGTCTGTGTGTATGTGATGGGGGGTGGGGGGGGTCTGTGTGTATGTAATGGGGGTGGGGGGGTCTGTGTGTATGTGATGGGGTGGGGGGGGGTCTGTGTGTATGTGATGGGGTGGGGGGGTGGGTCTGTGTGTATGTGATGGGGGTGGGGGGGGTCTGTGTGTATGTGATGGGGGTGTGGGGGGGTCTGTGTGTATGTGATGGGGGGTGGGGGGGGTCTGTGTGTATGTGATGGGGTGGGGTCTGTGTGTATGTGATGGGGGTGGGGGGGGTCTGTGTGTATGTGATGGGGTGGGGGAGTGGGTCTGTGTGTATGTGATGGGGGTGGGGGGGGTCTGTGTGTGTATGTGATGGGGGTGGGGGGGTCTGTGTGTATGTGATGGGGTGGGGGGGGGTCTGTGTGTGTATGTGATGGGGGTGGGGGGGTCTGTGTGTATGTGATGGGGTGGGGGAGTGGGTCTGTGTGTATGTGATGGGGGTGGGGGGGGTCTGTGTGTGTATGTGATGGGGGTGGGGGGGGTCTGTGTGTATGTGATGGGGGGGGTCTGTGTGTATGTGATGGGGGTGGGGGGGGTCTGGGTGTGTATGTGAGGGGGTGGGGGGGGGTCTGTGTGTGTATGTGATGGGGGTGGGGGGGGGGGGTCTGTGTGTATGTGATGGGGGGGAGGGGGGGGTCTGTGTGTATGTGATGGGGTGGGGGGGTGGGTCTGTGTGTATGTGATGGGGGTGGGGGGGTCTGTGTGTATGTGATGGGGTGGGGGGGGTCTGTGTGTATGTGATGGGGTGGGGGGGTGGGTCTGTGTGTATGTGATGGGGGGGGGGGGGTCTGTGTGTGTATGTGATGGGGGGTGGGGGGGGGGGTCTGTGTGTATGTGATGGGGGGAGGGGGGGGTCTGTGTGTATGTGATGGGGTGGGGGGTGGGTCTGTGTGTATGTGATGGGGGTGGGGGGGGTCTGTGTGTATGTGATGGGGGTGGGGGGGGGGTCTGTGTGTATGTGATGGGGGGGGAGGGGGGGGTCTGTGTGTATGTGATGGGGTGGGGGGGTGGGTCTGTGTGTATGTGATGGGGGTGGGGGGGTCTGTGTGTATGTGATGGGGGTGGGGGGGGGGGTCTGTGTGTATGTGATGGGGGTGGGGGGGTCTGTGTGTATGTGATGGGGGTGGGGGGGGGGTCTGTGTGTATGTGATGGGGGGGAGGGGGGGAGGTGATGGAGATGCTGAGACAGTGCGAGTGCGCGTCTCCAGGGGGCGCTGCTGATACTCACCCTCGGCGGCTCCTGACGCGGTGGGTGGTGGGGGGGGGGCGGTGCGAGGAGGGAGGTCACATGCTCGTACCCGCGCCTCCCATTGGTCGGGGGGGCGGGGGGGCGGTGCGAGGAGGGAGGTCACATGCTCGTACCCGCGCCTCCCATTGGTCGGGGGCGGTGCGAGGAGGGAGATCACATGCTCGTAAACCGCGCCTCCCATTGGTCGGGGGGGCGAGGGGCGGTGCGAGGAGGGAGGTCACATGCTCGTACCCGCGCCTCCCATTGGTCGGCGGGGGCGGTGCGCGCCTGCGCAGGAGCGAGGGGCGGGCGGGGCGGCTCGCGACCAACCAGAGCGGCCTGAGCTCGCGGCGCCCGGCAACGGCAGCCCGAGTCCCCCCCCTCACGGCAACGGCAGGGCCGCCATTGGCAGCTCCCGCCGGGGGAGACCGACGCGCGCACACACACACACACACAGAGAGAGAGAGGGAGGGAATGAACCGCTTACATGAGGTAATTTTAATTCGTTGGTTTTTTTTCACATCAATCGGGCGCTAGGCCCGAGGCCTCGGCCTCTGTTTTTTTTCTCCCCCCACCCGACGACCGTGACCTTCGTTTAGTTGGTCAGGCAGGGACGGACAGCGAGAGGGGGAGAGAGAGAGAGAGAGGTGGAGGGATAGAGGGAGAGACAGGGAGAGGGAGGAAGAGACAAACAGAGGGAGGGAGAGATATAGAGAGGGAGAGACAGAGGGAGGAAAGGAGAGAAAAAGAGAGGGAGAGACAGGGAGGAAGGGAAGGAGAGACAGACACAGAGAGAGAGAGAGGGAGGGAGGGAGGGAAGGAGAGACAGAGAGGGAGAGATAGAGAGAGGGAGGAAGGGAAGGAGAGACGGACAGACAGAGAGAAAGACAGGGAGGGAGAGACAGAGAGAGGGAGAGAGACAGAGAGAGGGAGAGAGACAGAGAGAGGGAGAGAGACAGAGAGAGGGAGAGAGACAGAGAGAGGGAGAGATAAAGAGAGGGAGGGAAGGAGAGACAGACAGAGAGACATAGAGAGGGAGAGAGAGGTTGTTTGTTTGTTTGTTTGTTTGTTGTTGTTGTTATTGCACTGTGAACGCGGCTGGAATTAATGTTCCATTAAAGGTTTCGCACGTTCACCTGAAGGTCCAGACCCCGGAGTCCCGTCAGGTGAGGTCGGTTTGACCTTTAATGTCAAGTTTTTTGCACTAATGTCAAACTCGCAAGATCGCCAGAGAGCACAAGCATGTAATAATAATAATAATAATAATAATCCTCGCATTTGATATAGCGCTTTTCACGTCGGGAGGACGTCCCAAAGCGCTTCACAGAACACACTGTAAAGTGAATTGACTGTATATTTGTGGGCGAACGCGGCAGCCGATTGCGCACAGCAATGTCCCACAAACAGTTGTAGATTGAAAATGACCAATTTGTTATTGTTTTGGGTTTTGGAGGATTATTATTAGGCTCTGTGTGGAGTAAGGAAACTTGCCCAAGGTTTCGCCCTCTGCCTGGAATTGAACTCAGGTCTCTCGCTCGCAAAGCGAGTGCTCTAACCACTGAGCTACAGGACACACACATACACACACGGGCTCAGGGAGAAGACCCTTTGCCCTCATCTCATCTTTCTCCCTCCCCCCCCCCCCGACTCTCATACCGGTCTTCCCAGTAATACACCGGTGATGATAAATGATACTTGCATTTGGTACAGTGCCTTATCGTGTCGTCATCGATGGAATGCCGCGAACCGCCGCGCAGGATTTTTAATGTAGATAATAATCCTCGCGTTTCACATAGCGCCTCGTCACTTTGTTGAGACGGCTCAAAGAACTTCGCAGAATATACTGTAACGTGAATTGACTGTATTTCCCCATTTCCCCCCCCCCTTGTTCGGGTCCTGACCCAACTGTCCAGCGCCTTGGGACGTCCTCCCGACATGAAAGGCGCTCTGTAAATGGAATCTTGTCGTTGTTGTTGTATATTTTGTGGGTGGAAAGTTTTGGGTTTTTTTTTGCTGCATTTGCCTACACAGTCACCAAAGGGTAATGCAGGCAAATGCGGCAGCCAATTTGCACACCGCGGCGTTCCTGCAAACGGCATTTGGTCGCAAGTGAGCGACCAGTTTTATCCAGTGGGGATTGTTGCCTGGGGCGTGAAGCGACCTCAGTTAAAAAATGGGTTACTTGACATCTTGCTCAATACGGTATTGAAAATGTGATGTCAATGTTTTGGTACAAGTGCTACAAATTTTAATAGACTCGAAGGAGAGAATCTTTCACTCTTTTAGTTACCATGAGATGTAAAACATTTTTCGCACAATTAGATGACTGCTACTCTTGAGGAGGTATCAGTTGACGTTTCTGTACCCAGTACTAAGTTCGAGTCCCAAAACCTTGAACCTAGTTATCTTCTTGGCCAAGAATTGATATGAGGTAGATAACTTTATATTTATTACTTGTGGACTAAGTTTCACTTAGTAAATACATAGCTTGTTGACTGTCAATGATTCCTAGCTTGGCTCGTAACGTTCTTGACTCTTGATCTCCCTCCCTTGCCACCTTCAAGACCCATCTCAAAATCCTCCTCTTTGACCATGCTTTCAATCTCCCTGCTTCCCCCCCTGCCCTCCACCGTTCCCCACCCCGACCCCCAGCTTGGGTCCGTAACTCTGACTGTCCAGCGCCTTGAGAAGTCCTCCCGACGTGAAATGAGCTGCTCAGATGTAATTTTGTTGTTGTTGATCCAGACGATTGTTTGCACGGTAGCCCAGGATGATACTCCAGTGTTTTGCTTGTTGGAGTTGTCTATATATATTATAATTTTTATCATATTGCCTGAGCTCCTCTAAAGCTATGTTCTTTCATTTTCAGAAAGGCGTTACTAGGCACTTTGATGCAGATGGATAATTGAAATTTGGTTTCAACCATATATTCTTATCAAGTTCGTTTGTTCCAGTGCTTTTGATTGACTCTATGCTATCAACTTAGATTTCTTCTGTGTTGCTCAAGATGGAAACCGAAACAGTAAGTAGTTATGCTATTTGGTTGAATTACTTTAAAAGTGAATATTGGGGGATGTACAGTGACCAATCCAACAGTACAAATCATCCAGGTTAGCCACCAAGCATCAACAGCATTTTTCACCGTTGATTTTAAAATTATAATTCATTAATTTTTAATTTTTTTTTGAATCAGTATGGTTATTTGGAATTATTTCTTATACATCCTCTTCGTTTTTCAATACTAATATTTCACTTGCTTGGCTTTAAAATCTTTAATGATATCTAGTAAGTGACCTTAAACATAGTGCCTGAACGGGGATATCGGATTCCCTTACTGTCAGGAAACTAGAGACTGTTTGAATAATGCCTCCTTTACCTTGGAATCTTTAAATTGAGTGCAGACAAATGGGATGGAAGTTCCTGGTCTCTTGACAGTTATGTTTTGGCGATGCTGTAATTCATCTTTGCACGGCCTCATTTTTGAGTTTTCCTGCTTACTTTACAGATCCCCATATGGCAGAACAAGCCACACGGATCCACCCGCAGTGTCGTTCGAATGATTGGAACAAGTCTTCCTTTGAAACCCTGTCGCAGAGTTTGTTTTGAGGTTAAGAACGTTAATAAGTTTGTCATTTATTCTGAACTACTTAGCAGAGCATACGCTTTTTATTGGGCTCAACGTTGGTAGTTATTTACACTAACATTCAGAATCATTTGAATTGTAATGAATATTGAGAATACTCAGTTGCTGCTTTACTTTTAAATTTATCTCCCTTCAATCAACTAACATATTGGAAGCGGTTTCTTAAAGGCAAGAATCTGAACTCCATTTGTTTGTTCTATTCTTTCTGTTTTCAGTTTAAATAATAAGTACAGTACAAATAAACTTCCAGTTCAGCATTTTTTAATTAAAATTGCAACGGACTACAGATAAATTAACTCCAACATAAATGTCACTTGGTAACATTTTGAATGTTAATTGTATGTAATTATAAGGGGAATGTGATATGATTAAAGGTGTTAGTACCCAGCCTATGCTTTGGGGTTTTACATGTTTCACTAACTCCCTTTTAATTTGTTTTTCTGAATGTTAAGCTTTGTTTATGTGAAAATAAGCAATTTCAAGTGTGGCTATGATATGATGAGAATAAATCTTGAAGGGAGGGGGCAAATGTATGAAGTATGATTCTTGATCAAAATATGTTATTTTCAACCTAGTAACTATCTTAGAAAAGTATGAACTCTGTTTACACATCATCCATTTAATATTGATGTACAGTATTTATATCAATAACTATAACATAGTTTTTTTTAGCTATTTGTGTAATCTTAGATCAGACAATTCTAATATCCTCTCCCCTTAAATTTAACATTTGAACTTGGTATGTGATGTTTGAAATACGTAACTTTTTTAAACCGATGTTCACCTGTTAAATACCATGATTAACATTTGATCCAAATGGATATTCCGAAGTTCATAAGATGCACACCTTCTTTTCCCTTGGGTTTGTTCAAGAAATAACTGTACGTTGATGGAATATTTTCCCTTTGTCTACAGCTTGTCCCAGGATTGTCAGCAGTTGATTCCTTACATTCTGTCTATGGGACTGGACCACCTGTGCCAACTCTGGCAGATGTTGCCTGGATCGCTGCAGATGAAGGAGAAGCTTTCACCAGACTCAGGTATCCATCTTGTTTACAGGAACATCGTATAACCTACCACTTATGAGGAATTCTCAAACCTTTTATCTCTGGTTATATCCCTGAAATAAATCAATATTCTTTGCCAACACTGTTATTTTGCAATGTAAAAAAAATATTGTACATTAACAAAATGCAAAAAGCTACATAAAAACATTTGGAACATTCAAGGCAATGTTTGCAATGTGACACAGATCCATGAACCCACACAAGTAACCTGTTAAATACAATCTGATTAAAATTCTTCGTAATTGCTCCCCTTACCCTGAGTTTCTTCCGTTCCATCTTTGCTTTTAAAATTGTGTATTTGTTGTGTTGTAATAATTTTCAGTGAATGGTTAATGCAGTATTTCTGAGACAGATATTACTGATAATCGCATGCACACACCGTTGCACTGGATCATGTCCTTCAGTCTCTTTTTCACAAACTGGTTCAGTTCTGAGTCCCATTTCCTTGCCTCCTTCAAAACCCATCTCAAGACCTTCCTATTCGACCATGCTTTCGATCAACCTTCTTCCTCCCACTTGTGTTCCATCCTCCCCAATCCCGACCCCCAGCTCGGGTCCGAATCACTGACTGTTTAGCACCTTCGGTCGTCCTCCCGACGTGAAAGGCGCTATACAAATTACAAATGTAATTTTACTGCTGTTGGGTTCTCTCCTCACAGCAGAGATTGCTTGCTCTGCCATATGTTGCAGTGTGTGTTTTGCTCCTTTTAGAGCTGACGTCAGACCCTTCAGGGAGGAATGGCACCCCACCCCATTGCTGATAATGCACAGGAATTCATCAGTCCCGAACTTCAGAAGGGAAGGGAGGAGACACGAAACCCTGAAGAAGCCAGGTCTAGCTGCTCTGAACAGAACAGTTGCACTTCAGGATGAACTTAGCCGTTTACGAGAACAGATTGCTAAAATAGTTGCTGTACAGGAGTCTGACGAAGATGCCACCGGTGAGTTTCCAGATATCTAAGCACCACAAGTAACTCATTTTACAAAGGAAGTTTGAAAATTTTATTTTACACAAATTCAGTTTTCATATGTGATGCCTTATCTATGTAACCGGTCTTACTGACTTGTTTTTGTGACCTGATACTGATCAAATTCCTTTTACTTATGGCCCCCCTTGGTGGCGACATCACTCCCGTCAATCTTGGCTGACTTCAGATTCAGGTCCTGGAGGTATAAAAGGACTGTCCTTCGCATTTTGTTGCACTTGGCCACGTTCTGCTGCTCTGTGTTTTTTGTGGCAGTTAGATATGGGGCATTACCTGAGATACTATATTCCTCCTTTCGCTTGCATCTTAAGTGGGATTTAGGACTTTTAAATTGAGGAGGTAATACGGATGGTAATGTCAACAAAGTTCCTTCAAAGAGTTTCGTTAAAAAAATATTCTCCCTCTCTTCCTCCTTTGGAATTCTCGCTCATTTTTAGCAAGATTTAAAGTGCGGCACAAACAATGAGTTCTAAAGAACATTCAGTGGTGAGTTTAGATATCATTCTGGTAGTTTGAAAACGCAACAGGACTCGAAAGTGTTTGTTCACTTCTGTTGGAATTGCCGCTGATTGGATATACGGTAGCTTAATTATGACGCCCTTGGTAAGCTTTGCAGAATATTGATTGCGTGCTCAATCCAATCACCGAACAATTCAGTTCTTCCCAGAATTTTTGAATCACCTTATATTCGGCGTTTTGCTGGTTTGGTGATCAACTGGATTGGAATTGTTTCAGCTACAAAAATACCTGCGATCCTTGAGAGCATTTTGCTGTGTTGTTGATTATTATCGAATCTGTCGGGTGAAATCAAAATGAATAGCTTTTCTTTCTGTTTCAGAATCTGCTGCTTTCACACCTGAACTTGGTTCTCCTGATACTACAAGCATTGCCTGCTCTTTGCCAGAGTTTGAATCCGTATATCCTTCTCTAGCTTCGTTTACTATCAATGATATTACAGAGACAGACGAGCCTGATTGCATGAGTTTATCGTCCTTCTCTATCGCTGGCACCTCAAACTTTGACTTCGAAAAGAAAGATCTAAAGGATGATGATGATGATGATGGAGAAGTGGTTTCTCTTTCCAAGTCCACGAGCTTCGCAGACATGATGGACATCCTGAAAGACATGAATAGGGTTAAGCTACACTCGCTGCAGGGGTGAGTCGAAAATAAATCAGTACAGTTTGCATTTTTTATAGCTCCTTATTGAATAATTTTATTTAAAGAGGGTGTTTGCTTTCCTTGATGGAAAGTCTTGTGTAACCGAACCCCAAAAGAAAGAAATAGCACTAGGAGGGGGGAAGGTATGTCATCTCTCCCTTTGATGCAACACCCTTCACGGTGGAGCAGGTCGGGCGGGGGACGTGGAGTAATCCGGAGCTGGCTGAGCGGAGGGAGCAGACAGGTCGATGTGGAGTTAGCAGGTTACAGAGGTAGGAAGGAGCAAGGACATGGAGGGCTTTGAACGAGGCAAGGACGAGGATTTTGATCTCTATCCTCTGGGGGATGAGGAGCCAGTGGAGCCAGGTGATAGTTACCAGCAGCTGCAGGAGAAATTTTAAAGTGTGACCAGGACTGGGTGGGCCTTCAGCCTTTCTGCCCCCAACTTCTGGAACTCTATCCTACAGTCCCTCTGCCTCAGTCCCTCCACCTCGCTTCCTCCCTTGCACCCTTCCAGGCCCTCCTCTTTGACTGTGCCTTTGGTCACCCTCCTAACCCTACCCTCCTTACCCTCCACCCATCCTGATCCTAACCACCAGCTCGGGTGCAGATCTCAGACTGTCCAGAGTCTTGGGATGTCCACCTGACGTGAAAGGCGCTATACAAATGTAACTGGTTGGTGTAAGTGATGTCTGAAACTCTTGCTGCAGGTCCAAGGGAGACTCACTGAGGGAGAACGACCCGGCGGTGCGCATATCAGAAGCCTTGAAACGCAAGTTTACTGTTCAGGACAACGGTATTTTCTTGAATGAAAATTAGATTTCCACGCATCAAATCATGTCCCTTCCAAAGTAAGTGTCTTTTCTTTCATAACTCCAAGCTTGGAGTTAATGGGCCTCTCTTTTTGCTTTGCTTTTCATTAGTTGAATAAAATGTAAGCCATATAGTATCCATAACCAAGTTGGTGAATGTAATTAAGAACTTGTGCTAATTGTCACTGTTTATTGCTTTATTTGCTGGTTAACTCTCCTCACTGTCGCCTTCGAAACATAAGAAATGGCAACACAGCTGCTGGATTATTGTAAAAACCCAACTGGTTGACAACTATCATTCAGAAAAGATATTCTTGTCATCCTTACTCGGTCTGGTCTACACACAAGTCCAGTCCCACAGGACATGGTTGACACTCAGTGCCCTGTGAAATGGCCTAGCAAGCCACTCAGTTATAGGGAGGGCCCCACCCCCGGAATGGGCAATAAATGCTGGTCTTGCTAGCGTTGCTTACATCCCGAGATCAGTATAAAATAAATGAGAATCAAAGTGCTTTTGAAGTGTACAGCTTGATTTGCATCTTCACCTTTTGTTAATGCTTTGCGTTTATCTTGAGTTCCTGCTAGATTTGAAACGCAAGGTGGAGTTGGTGGAAAACTGCAGTCATTTGGAAGGGACTACAGTATTTATTCCCAGCCATTTCAAACGTTCTGTGGGCCTTGCTACAGCAACAGCTGCCAATAAGCAAAGAGCATGGGACAAGCATGGCGTATTGAACAGGACACTTTCTGCTGCACACTTCTTTGCACAGCAATATTTACAGGCAGTGGAGACAAGGTTACACAAAAGGCAAGCTTCTATTTGTGCCTTGAGTAGTTAAGAAAAATGTCCCTACCTCAGTTGTTATCCACTATTGTTCCATTACAAAGAATGGGAGAGGGATGAAAGACATGAATGTCGGATTGCCAGATAGCCAGTCCAACATATTTTTTTTTGTTTCAGGCAAAATTGCACTTCACTAAAATATTGTCCCAAATCGATCCGCACGGTTGTTTGCACATCAAATGTATTGGTGAGAAATCTACCTTTGATAACAGGGTTTCCTTGATCTTAATTCAGAAACTCTGGCGAAAGCAGGTGTCTCTTTGTTCCTTATGTTGGGTTCACTTTCAAATGGAGATCAAATAGAGAAATTGGCTTTTATGACCCTCTTGCGTTTTGATCTCTTTCTTCCCGCCCACCCCCATTCACTCAAAATGACATGAATTATTTCACTCATTCACGGTTATGTTCCCAGAATGGGGAGAAAAGGATGTTTTGATGGTGACGCAATACCATGAACAAACTCAAGCAGTTTGGGTGGAAATGTTTACTTCCTTTGACGAATGTAACAACTGTCAGTAAGACTGCATTTTACTTCAATCTTTATTGTTTCAACCATTTCCTTGCAACGTTGATTAACTTGAGGATAAATTCCAAGATCGCCGATTCTTAATTTGAAAGCTTATTGAGTTATTTGAGCCTAAGACTAGTTGTGTCAACTGAGCCACTAGTGAGGTTAATCCACTTATTACACTGGTTCAAATCACTTGATTGCAAATCTGAATACCATTGATGTTTCTTATGGTTATAATCCTCAAAATGTGTCGGGAGATTTTTCTGATCTTCATCCTAGTAATAATAACCATTCCTGCAAACTGACCAAACCCCTGTTGTGTCTTGTTCTGGCAATGCTCTTTGATATCTGATCAGGAACATTAGCCAAATATATTTGGAGAATAAAATCAGTCTGTTACATTGTCTGAAGAGTTTGCTAATTTGTTGTAGGTAAGCGCTAGTCTGTATGATGGCTAGAGTTGCATCTTAAGTTTACTGGTACAATGCAGTCAATACAATTGTGATCAACATTAACCCAGGTGAAATACTCAGTTAGTAGCCCATCAGAACATAGTTTTCACCAAATCCAACAACTAGTTCTTCTAACTGAAAAATGTTTGTTAAAGCATTGAAAATAAGCTGCAGTTTAGGTTAGCAGAAAACATCTGTAAAGTTGGTTAATTTACACATTAATTCTGCATTGGTGATAGGTCATTATAGTTTTGGGTTCCAATGCTTCTTCTAAAGCATTGTGTATATATTCTTTAAAGTGTGTAAACATTGCTTATCCCTCTGTCTGACATAATTGACAAATTGAAACTTGGATCATTAAAAGTGTTTTGTTCTGAGAATGCTCTTTAATATCTGATGAAGAACATTAGCCAAATATACGTGAGCAATTCCTTTTAGATATTAACCTGTTAACTTACTGCCAATAAGCAACGGCCATCTTGCGAATTGGCTCACACTTAAACCCGACTGCCTTGTTGGAACTTGTTCATCACATCTTGACCAGTTTGCATCAGAGAGATGCGCACAGAAATCTGCCCCATACTCCGTCTAATTCCGTTACCTGAATTGGGTAGAGCAGTGATCATGAATCCTGGATAAGGACCAGCTTCAGGTAGAGAAAAACAAGTTTGTCTTTGTGCATGCTCCCTGAGGAGGAATTTTAGCTTAGCATTAGGACTTCTGAACTCCCATTTGTATATACTGTAAAATCAACAGGTTTTCCCAAATTTAGCATGGATTTGAGTTTCGGTCTTCCAAAGCACAGTAGAATGTTATTCCGTTAGTTGTTTTGTCAGCCATGTTATCTTTCATCCCAGGAATCTTTCTCTGAATTGCTGAAATTATTTACACACTTGACAGGTGCTGTTACAGTTTAATGGGAGAGCCCATCGCTGGACTGTAAAAAGTCTAATGAAATGAATTCTTTTTTAAAAAAATACAATAATAATTTGGTCACAATCCACGACAGTCAAATCCCTTTACCGTATATTCTGTGAAGCGCTTTGAAATGTCTAGAAGACGTGCAAAGTGCTATACCAAATGCAAGGCTTATTATTATTATCTTTTGGTATGCCACTGGATGATGTGAGTGGAAAAAAATTATCAATTCGCCACTTCCGATATTTTTCTCAGCACAGAAATTGAATGAAACGTTCAATTAAAACAAAGTTTCCTTTCTATTCTATTTTTAGAAGATGGAAAAGGATTACGCTGTATTACAATATAGTAACAGTACGAATCCTGTTCCATCAGTAAAATATGAAGAAGCTACAGCTTCCAATGCAAGCTGGCATTTAGTCCTGGTCAGGAATAGATGGTGATTGATTCTTCCCAGCAAATATATTGCTTAAAAAAAACCTTGGTGTTCTCAATATCTAGCAATTTGGGGTTAAGTTCTTCAGTGATGTATTATAGAGATCTTTAACTAAACGAGAACCTACCCTGCACGTTTACTATAGTTCTTCAGACCTTCCTTTAGAGAGTAAAAGCAATTCCCATTTGTTCATTTACATTTAAATAGAGTGAAACTTGGCGAAGGCTATTTTATAAATCTGTTGACGTAAAACTATTACGCCATATGAAATGACTTGAAAGCAATAAGGTATCAGATTGTTTATGCATGATAGCAGAACTATTTATTACATTTAGATACAGTATGTGTAAGTTTTCAACTAATGGTTTATTTTAAGTTGGAATTTTTTGGCTTGTTTCTTTCCCATACTTTAACCTCAAACTTGTATCAATATAAATAAAGGCAGAATATTCTTGCACCGAGATTTTGTCTGCATTTTATTTACACCACAAAAGTTAATTGCAGGAGATGTGCAATATCTACTCCGCACTTGGGACGAAATGGATGTCTTTATACACCTTGAACACACAGTTTGAAATCAGGAGCGCAATTCTCTGGGGAAACACTATGGCACTTGAGTAACGACAGCCTGAATAAATAGCACTCATTTGTGGTCAGAATTGCTGTTTCAAGCGATGTATTTTTGCACTCCGTTTCTTGAGAACTAATCGACGTGCTGTATGTACTCTGCAGAACCCCAGGGGATAGGGTGCGACCACCTTCCTGAGCTTGAAGTGACCCGAATGCTCGTGTGGAAGTTGCTGGTTTTCATTTACAGCTGCGGTGCCTCGTGTCTGACAGCTGAGGGCAGCGTTTCGCAGTGCTCTGATCAAAGCACGGGATAATGTCACCTTGCAGACATTCGAGTCACGGCAGCTCACTGTTGGGCCACTTTTTCTTGTCTTTCATCATTTGAAACTGATGGTGGCCAAACCCCCAAACTTGCCGTCGAGGCCACCTGACCGACAAAGGGCTAAAGCGATCAATCTGCTGACTGCTCTGCTCGTAAGAGTTTAGTTTGAGCCATACTTAATTAGTGACTGGCCACGATTTTCGGAGGGTCATTTAAACTGTCTACCTCTTTGGAAGCCATTCAGAATCTGATTTAGCCACAACAGTTAGACAACTTTGAGAAAAGCAGAGTGATTGCACTAAATTCTGCTTTTCCCTGTTCTTTGCACGCAGAGGCTACAGACTTTTACTGCACATGATCAAGTATTTTTACCTATATTTTTACAATCTGGCTTCCAAAATTGCCCCAACTATGAGTTCGGTTTACTCAACATTTTCCTTGTGGCTGAATCTTGCTCCATCAGGACATTTGCTATTTAAACCGAAGGTTTCACTTCCCTCTCCCCTCCGTGTTTTCTGCACGGATTTTAATGGTTACTGAGAGCTTTTCAATTTTCACAATGGCTCAGACAATATAATTGTAGTCGGTAGCAAAATCACCCCAGTTGGCATTCAGTTGGTTTGTGCTATTGATTGATCTTATTCTTGCAACTCTTGAGTTGCAAATCTAACCACTTGAGCGCTAAAGGGAAAAATACTCTCAGACACCCGGAATTATAATAATAATATAATAATTCGCATTTCGTATTGCGCCTTCAGAGAAGATTAGATTTTTTTTAAAAAAAGGAATTAGATTAAAAGAATCCAAGGTCAAATGCCAAAGGGGACTTGATTCTTCATAAAGGACTTGTCCGTGAAGAAATAGCCTCCAACTTTGGACACTGTCTTAGCCTGTGAGGGGCAACGTTTCCTCCACTGAGCCGACAGAGAGAGGAGAGCTGAGGTCATGGCTAATTGCTGGGCAGAATGGAAAAAGATAATCGAGTGATCAGTCAGAAAAGCAAGCTAATCTCTCACCAGAAATAACTTGTAGTCACCTGATGGTGTCCCAACGGTTTGGACATATGAGAACCTCATAGAAGAATGTGCCTAAATCACAAAGGCATTTTAATTCCTAATCCTATTATGTTTTTTACTTGGCAGTAAATTTAGGATCAAAGACAATTTCAAGGGCTTTGAAATGTCCTCTTGATGCAAAAGGCTTTGCATATAAATAAATTGTTGTTGCTGCAAAGTTGTGTTTATAAGAAAAATAAGATTAAAATATTTGGCAGAACTTTGAAATTCACATTTTGTAACTTACGCACGGTTTGTACAGTAACTCATTGTAACAAATAACAAGCAGCTTGTGGTATCTATCATCCCCTCCACATAACACAGATCAGCTCAATACTGTTGCACATAAATTCAGGTTTGTTTCCAGCACAGACCAAGCAAACGAAAGGTTTGCGTAACGTACTTATCTTTCGGCCCTATTAAACTCAATGTAATGTTTCGCCCACAAAATACAGTCAATCCACTTGACAGTATATCCTGTGAAGCTTTGAGACGTCTCGACAACGTGATAAGACCATAACAAATAATACCAAATTATTATGAATGCACACTAACATTGCATTTTATTTTTTTATGAAGGAAAAAAAACACGAACTGTCAAATGTATTAGTGTCTTTTTGAAACTTTTTGAAATTGAAGCAACTGTTCCAAAGGTTTTGTTAGCTCTTGAATAAAAGGTCATGCAGTGTCCCGGCCAACAAATTGCTCATTCACTGAGGGCAATTTGTCTCCTGTGTTCACCTACAAACTGCACAATGATTACACAATAGCAATTACCGGTGAGACATCTCAGGATATAAAAACGCAAGGATTATTTTTGTATAAGGTTACTTGGGTTGGGTTTTGTCTGGAAAGGAATCAGAAAAGCCACCTGCCAGTGCAAATATCTTTAGACTTAAACTCAATATAATCTTCTAGGCTCATGTATGAGACTTCCACGATTCAGCACACCAGTCAATATTTAATTACAATCCTGATGTATCTCTGCAGAAAATTACAAGAGAGGTGTATCAAGTGCATTGTATATAAAAGTCTACAGGACTAATGAATTGTCTAGTTTGCAGTCCAAGGTCAAGTGGTGGCAATTTGTACTCTTGAATTCTTGATGGATGTTGAAACTAGTCAAATAGCCATTTTTTTTAAGGGCACTGGGTACTGAGCACAACCATTTGTAGGGAAGATTGTTACAATAATGAAGGAATATAAGACCATAGGTAGCACACCCCTGAATGACATTTCGCCTGAGCTCAGTTAATTAACGCAGCACAAACTTTAGACTGACCCTGACATCTTCGGTGTGTTCACGTGAGTTTGGTTGTCTCAGATTAGACTGGTGTTACTGAGTCATTAGGTGAGTCATCCTGATTACATGAAAATTTAATTTATAAATCGAGTATCCATTCCCTCCACATTTTACTCATTCGCATGCTGTTACCCTTGTAGCCTCTCACGCGGAACCCCGTAGGGTATTGGCTCGAGTGCTCGCCTCGCAAGCGAGAGGACCCGGTTTCGATTCCCAGACAGAGCGAAACCTTAGGCAAGTTTCCTCACTCCACACGCCTCTGTTTACCTAGCAGTAAGTAGGAGCCCTGTTGTTAGTCGATTGGCAGATTGTTTTTCGGGGGTAATAATCCCTTTGGACAACATCAATGTCTGACGGGGAAAAAAAAACAAGCTACCAACTGAGGACCACTGACAATGCAAAACTCCCCTCGTTACCGCACAGGATTGTCTCAAGTACTGACAAGCTTGGATCCCAAAATGTTCTGACAGGGGAAAAAAATGTGCTACCAACTGAGCCTCGCTAACACATGATAATTCTTAAAAGCACGGACGAGGAAACATCCTTGTAGTTATTAAATCTAATATGACTGGCTGCTAAATGCTGATGACTGTAAGAGCAGACTTAACTATACAGGGAAATGATATCCAAAGGCTCTGATGAAAAAAAAACAAATTCCCAGCCTCTGTGGTTTATGTTATTACTTGAATTAAGGGATTAATAACTGTCATGTATTTTTCTGTTCGTCCCAGTTCAATAGTTCACCCATTCAATGTTGGAAGAATCCTCATGACAAGAACACAGGAAGGTGCAGGACTGGAAATAAACACATTGTGGTCCATTCAACCCAAAGTAAAAATGCTGCTCCATTTCCCAAGCCCCCCATCGATTTTTTTTTTACACGAAATAGCCGAGTCGCTTTTGATGTTTGACTGAACTCAACTCCCTTCTGTTATTAAATAGTGTGGCATGAGCTTTAATGTCCACCTGAACTGGCAGACGGGGTCTCAGTTTCATGTCTGGACTGTTGTAATTGCTGAGAGCGCAGCTTGTTTTTTTGAGGGGGGATTAATTCACGTTTACAATATCTATTTGCTAAACTCCAACTCCTGTCCTTGCTGTCTCTCTGTTGTAAGCTGCAGTTCTACGCTGGCAGCTCTTGCGTCTTTTAATGATGCTGACAATACATAAAGGATGATTCACGGGCCCTGCGTGGGAGAACCTTAAATCCACAGGCAGTGCACTTTCCAAATTATTGCCCACTCCCTTCTCCCAGGCATTAACTCCCGTGTGTTTTAAGTTCCTTGTTCAAAGGTTGGCGACAATGGTGAAAAAAGTCCGTACTGATAAATTTAGCAACTCGTCCTCAGCACAGAGGAAGAAGTGACTGTAACGTTTCCCATCTGTTTTTATTGTTGCTTTGTAGAAAACGAGAGGTAGGATTTATTAGTCTGCCAGGATCCCTTTTTTAATCACACACAGTTCCTGTGTGCATCAGGGTATCTCTGGTTCCTGGAATTGAATGTACAGGGACTTGGTAATTTATGGGCTGACCTTTTCCAGCCACACGTCATTCTACAAAGATTTATTGATAAAGGTTTGAGGGCTATTGTTAGAAATACTGTTAATTTTTTTGGGGACACCGTTTTAGCAGAGAAAAAATACGCCTTGTGTAACGGTAATCAATGGTTGACAACTGAAACCTTTTTCTCGCCCTAGCTAAAGTTTCCCGATCGTCGAGTTTGGCCAAGGTTCAGCGCTTTGAGACGCTATCCCGTGTGAAGGGCACAATATAAATGAGAGTTATTGTTTTTCTTCTTAAGAAATTAAGATATTTGGGCACGTGCCAAATATTTGGGCACGTGCTGTGGATGGGTAATAATAATAACGCCTAATAATAATCCCTCCAAAACGAAAAAACAATAATAAATTGGTCATTTTCAATCTACGACTGTTTGTGGGACATTGCTGTGCGCAATCGGCTGCCGCGTTCGCCCACAAATATACAGTCAATTCACTTTACAGTGTGTTCTGCGAAGCGCTTTGGGACATCCTCCCGACGTGAAAAGCGCTATATCAAATACAAGGATTATTATTATTATTATATGGGTAGGGGGTGGGCAGGCAGCTTTGCATGTCATTGCAAGGATTTGAATAAAACTCCAAAGGCAAATTTTAAGGCAAAAAGGACTTGTGGGCTAGCACTAGGTGGAAGTTTGGGTGTCAGA